GAAATCTAGAGAATAGTTAGTCCAGTTATAGCACTACACCACATGCAATTACACACAACCAACGATACAACAGGATGATGGGATAAGATGACAGTTCTAAAATCTAATCATCTAATGACACAGAGGGAAGGGAGAGATTGATTACTAAGGCTTTATTTATCGAATCAACTGAGGAGAATACGTATGATAGGAATGATTCAACATCTGTCCACCCACCTGGACATCTGGTAGATTCTACTAGCCCTACGACGACGAATAGGAGAAAGAATAAAGAAAACTATAAAACTCTGGTTTCGAAGTTGTGTGGTTATCAATTGACGATATCATTATGAACAATGAATGAATTGTGTTCGAAGAAACTTTGTCATCCAGTAAATAATAATATTACTGTTTCACTCTCTATGTGTGATATATCTAATAAACAAATTAATATAAACATTCGGAAAGAATATTAAAAAGAAATCTTAATATTATAAATCAAAGCTTGTATCCAAGGGGTATTCACACACACACACACACACACACACACACTAGAATAAAGTAATCATTTAATCTAATGTGTAAACGTGGCTTACTGAGCTAAACACTCAACTCTTTCACAGTCACCACGTCCTGCATTCGAGTCCCATTCTGCCTTCTACTTCAGAGTGAGCAACAAACTGGATAGTGACAGTATCATCAATCCTTACAACATATCAAGTATACCTCATAGCCTGGAGGAAGTGAGTTCAAACAACGCGTAAGGATTACTAAAATAAATAATAAAATAAATATTAAGAGGATGGAACTAATTCCATGTTTGTTTATTAGATGGATATATCACACACATACAGTGAAACAGCATTATTATTATTATTATGGAATGGATGACCTTGGCGGCCTGTTTAAACATTTTGGGCTACCATATTCCATATACATTTTGCATCAATTTACCCATATTTTATTGGTGTTTACATATCAAATTATGCATTCTAATTGTATTATTCACTCCCGAATTTTATAAAACGTTTTAAACTTTCATATTTGCAATAAACTCAAGAAAAAGCACCATTGTAGTTGGCAACGTGTTTTAAAATCTACTCCCATACATCACACTACTCTGCCGGTTATCATAAATACCGACTGCTGATCCCTGCCAAACAACATTCTGGATTTTCAGTCCCTGTTGTCGTCAGGAATCTACCACAATACTGCTATTGTCACTCTACAAGTAAGCTGGCTCCATGACTCATATGATGACAATATAGTGTCTCTAAATGATTTTAATGTATTCTGAGAAGAACGTGTTTGTTCCAAGAAAAAATGTGGCGGAGGATTTGCAACTTTTATTCACTCAAAATGGTCCATTTCTAACAAAGTTTGTTTCAAATTCTCGAATGACTACATTGATTGCATCACTGTGAGATGTCGCCCGAAACACTTGTCAAAATACAAATTCATTTATATTTCTAATGTTTATGTCTCTCCTGGCTGTACCATATCGGATTTATCTATGTTCGCTGATGAATTCACCGCTTTTGCTGCAGCTTGCTTCGAGAACTCTTTATCAATAGTAACTGGCGACTTTAATTCATGCGATCACTCCTTCCTTATATCACTTGGTCATGACAATATTGTTAACTTTGCTACCCGTCTTGGTAAAACACTGGATCTAGTATTTATCAATGATGTTGGTATATATGAAGCTCGCAAACGTGCTCCTTTACTTAACTCTGACCACTGCATCATACGTGTACTGCCTAAAATATATTCCAAATCACACAAAGGTGTCCTCTCTCACCTCTGCAGTAAAGTTCAACGGAGATGCTACTCACAAGACAACCTAGACAAGCTCAGATGCATGTTGAAAGACACTAACTGGGACTTATTTACAGAACAAACATTAGATGAAACAATCACAAACACTACTGATTATCTTAAATTCTGTTTCGAAATATGTTGTCCTAAAGAAACATTATTCATTCGATTTGATCGCTTCTCTTCGCCATATCTCAAAAAGCTACGTAGAGTAAAGAACTGTTGTTCAAAACAAATGATAAGCCTGGTGTAAAAAAGTTAAATACTCTGATAAAACTGGAAATGAAAAGACTAAGTGTTTTATATAATCAAAGATTTTTGTCATGTAAAACCCCTTCTAATTTATGGAAACTTTTCAAAGAAATTACTAACGGTAAGCGATGTATTTCTGTCCATCTCTTAATGTTGACACTCTTAATAAATCTTTCATACGCTCTTCTGTTGATATCCTTCCTAATGATACAAATCATATTGACAATAATTTTAGTGGTTTTAATACCCTTGATGTGCTTAAATGTCTCCGGTCTCTTAAGCCTTCTCAAAGCCTTGGTCCTGACGGCATACCTGCCATTGTCCTCAGGAATTGTGCTGATATTTTGTGTTACCCTCTTACTAACATTTTTAATGCTTCTTTTTCCGGTAACGTTCTACCTTTTGCATGGAAAAACATTAAAATTATCCCCATACCAAAACCATCTTCTGGTTCTGATATTAAATTTCGGCCTATTGCAATTACTTCCCCTTTTTAAAATTGATGGAAAAATTACTTTTACTTCGTCTTGAACCCGCATTGAAACCTTTTAATGATCCTAAACAATTTGCATACAAACATGGTAGAAGTACCTTGGATGCTGCGGTTGTCTTATATCACAATGTTGTTTCTTGTTTAGACAAAGGTGCTAAATATGTTCGTAGTGCTTTCTTAGACTACACATCTGCTTTTGACTCTGTACCTAGGGGCCTTTTATTAAATAAGCTATCGTTGACACAAACAGGATCCTGGGCTAAGAGTTGGTTGCATTCCTATTTTTCTGATAGAATGCAGTATACTGTATATAATGGCAAATCTTCTTCTACCTCGCTTACAAAATCCGGTGTTCCACAAGGTGCTGTCCTCTCTCCTTTTCTTTTTTCTTTCTTCCTACATGACCTGCCTCATTCAAACGAAACTAACTTTGTCAAATATGCAGATGATCTGACTGTATCACTGCCTATCACTTCCGAGTCTGACAGCTCCAAACTTAATAGCTTTCTGTTGGACATCAACAAGTGGTCCAAGTCAAATGGTCTTATATTAAATCCTTCCAAATGTCAGGCAGTTGACTTTACTTTCAAGCATCGACGTGACTTACATGAACTAGTTAGTTCCCATGATCCCTGTAGCATAGATGGCACGGAAATTGAAACCAAGTCAAGCATTAAATACCTTGGATTAGTTCTTTCCTCTGACCTTTCATGGTCATCCCACATCTTATCTATCTCTAAGAAAATGTTTCGTCTTACCTTCTACATTAAAAAGTTAAGACAATCAGGTATCAACCAACCTTTAGTTTTGCAATTTTTAAACTCCTGTATTTTACCTATTGTACTCTATTGCTCTCCATTAATCTTTCCTGGGCTTCTCAAAAAAGACTATATCATATTACGAAGAGTATTAAATGCTGTGAGTAGGCTTGTGGTCTGCCACTGCATGAGCTCGCCAATACTATAGTCGAGAGGCATATAAATTCCTGTACAAAATGGGCAAAGGCCGTACTGTCAGACCCTCTGCACCCCCTTTATTCACACCTATCCCCTTGTATCTCATCAGGTAGGACGAGAAGTCAATATAAAAAGTTATATGCTCGTACCACTAAGTACAGAAATTCTACAATACACTATTTAGCCCGTACTTTATGTGATGAAGACTCTGTTAGACGTGAAACACATAAGTTACTATGTAATTAGCAAAGTGAATCCACCCTTTCATTGTTCATCTTTCTGTATTATATGGTGTCACACTTTCTATCGTTTAGTTATAACTTTTGTCAGCCAAATCTCAGTAATTGTCAATCTCCAGCTGTTACTACGCTGGACCTCACGCTGTCCCTCGAAGACTTTGTATTAACCAACACGAAAACCAGAATACAGATTGGCGACTCTAGAATCTTTTATTCTTACGCCAACATGTAACCAACAATAAGGTTATTACACACAACGTCTAAGAATAAATGTTATAACAATAAATCACGATAATACTTCTGATAGTTTTTATCTTCCCTGGAACAGCGAACGATGAGGTGATGACCGCCGGATTGATGACACCCGCGAAAAATATGGAGGAGTTTGGTTTGAGCAAACAACCATGAATTGATCGTTCAGTCTTCAACTACATTGACACTTCCCGGCAAAAAAGGGTCCATCCCTTTTTTAAATCACGACCAATACACGTTGACTTCGATGCCATTGCGAGAACCTGGGGCACACGAAGAAAGCTGAAATGGGAAACAAACAGCAAAGCCAATACACCACAGGCATACCCAAACCACAATCTCACACATCAATGACGACCTACACCTTCCAGTTAAAGGCATCCTCTTGACATCCTGCGACACAATCGCCACTTGCTAGAATGACTCTTCGAGAACGCAACGTGACCATAGCGGCACCTCATGATACTCTTCGCACATCCTCTTATCTATTCACTACCAATTACCACTGCGATCGCTTGTCACTCATTCTGTCTTAGTTCTAGTAACGGTGACGTATGCAAGCCTCAGTCGTCTACACTCTCGCTCCCCGGCGTGTGGGACCACAGCTAATCCTTATCTCCGTATGCATGTCATTCTCAGCACCAGCCTAGCCTTCCCAGCGTATACGACCCATCTGCTGTCTTTAACATCAATCAATTCATTCACGGATGTAGCAGGCTCGAAACAACTTCAGAAGTAATCACGACGAAAAATTTAACAAAATTATGCAATAACAACAAGATACGAAAACAACAAGTAAACACAGTGAATCCAAAAAACACTAATTAATATGACACACCACACATATATACAAACAGTATACATAACGTCGTAGGTCATATGTTGGTGTAATTCCTTTGAAGAATTGCAGAACTTACACCAGTACGCCTGCAACCCTTTTCAGGTTGACGATTGTAAGTTGAAGAATGTCCGGACACGAACAAGATTAACCAAAAAAAATCGGTTAGACGTGAAACACATAAGTTACTATGTAATTAGCAAAGTGAATCCACCCTTTGATTGTTCATCTTTCTGTATTATATGGTGTCACACTTTCTATCGTTTAATTATAACTTTGCTGTTTTATTTTAGATGTTATTACTATTATTACTACAATTTTAAACTTTATGCATATTTTTCTCTCTATCGTTCTTCTTTATCATATCTATACTTTTCTCCATATTGCACACAGTAATTTGCTATGTAGCTGCTATAACAACGTTTTGTTATTATTATTGTTATGTAGTGTTTATCTTTACTTTTTTTGTTGTTGTCATTTTTGAGTAAATTAGATGCAATATTGTAGTGAATGCTGAAAATTCCTTGCTTTATCGTTACTACTGTTTTTGGAATAAAGCAAATTATGATTATTACGATTTACTGAATGACGAAGTTTCTCCGAATAAAATTTATTTATTGTTCATATTCATATCGTCAATTATAATCGAACGATTTCGAAACTTGAGTTTTATGGTTTTCTTTGTTCTCTCCTAAACTTCAATCTTTGATCTATCTAGTTTGCAAATTATCTATTCTTCATTCTGGAGTCTGATCAAAATATGATATCCTCTGTATGCTTAATAATTAATTATTAGGGATGAAAGATCAACCACTTAACAATAAAACACAAATATCTCGAATAATATTCTAATTTTTTTTTAAATGTACTCAAGTTTTTTATTAAAATATCCTGTATATATAAATATACATAGAGAAATGTACTAAACTGAGTTAGATATCAGTCCTTGTAAACCCATGCATCGAAACACCTTGTCTCCTATTACTACCCTGCTTCTTATTCCCTTTATAACATTAAGCTATGCATTAATTCCAAAACCATATGAATATAATCAAACGACAACATTGTGTAGTATTGGTGAAACACTTGAATTTACGCATGAATATCATTCATGTTTTATACTTAAAGAAGCATTGAAACGATTCGATGAACACTTGTCACTTAGAAATACACCATTATTATCAAATGATACATCCACGTGTCTTATAAGCTCTCTTACAGTAAATATAGAACAATCGTGTGATGAAAGTGAGAATAAACTTTGGCCATCTGATATGATGGATGAATCATGTGAGTGTTTGTGTTTTTTCTATATTCCGTTTACGTTCCCAGTGGTGGTTATTTGTTTTTTTAAAGGATGAGAGGTTGCTAGCCAGCGTCATTTGTCCCAACTTTCCTCCTTTAGAGAGGTAAAGGAGGAGTGCATCCATTGGCCGGGGATCGAACCCTGAACCACCTTTGTGACGTGGTCGGCGAGCATTCTACCGCTGTACCACCGATATATTGAATTCATTTCTTAGATTGGACACTCAAACATATCGTTAGTTTTTTTTGTTAATTCAGAATTATATTCCAGGTTGTAGACAGTTGGGCTGCTGATTCACCCTTGTTACATGTATCCGGTGTTACCTTAATGAATATAGATTCTGTTATTAGTCGTCTCTCTTTCTATTTGTTCATATTAGTTCATATGTAGAATGCAAACAATGTTCCAATCGATGTTGTGGTTTTTATCCCATGCTGCATGTGCAGCTATAGATGAATTTTTTCAAGATTCTTGTAAGCTAGTGTTCTTGTTGGTTGACCATTGGTTAGGCGTTTATGTTCATTCACTCATATTGAGTGATCTGAACGTGTTTGCTCCACATATTTAGTCGGACAGTCCTCACAAGATATTTTGTAAATCAAATTGTTTTTATCCATCATTTTTATACGATCTTTCGGTTGATTTATTTTATTTTTGATTAGAGTCGTCAGTTTAAACGTTGTTCGAATGCCGATATTTTTGAGGTTTCTTTGAATTGCATCTGAAGTACCATTTTTCTATGGTATTGTGACTGTTTTTTTTTCCATTCTTCCATCTTGTCATTCTCTGGTTTTACCCTCATTTTTTCTCTTTTTTATATTATCTTTGATAAATTCTTTAGGGTAGTTGTTGTCGACTAACCTTTTGAATAAGACATTGACTGAGACAATGTGTTTGTATTCTAAAAACTAATATGAACAAATGGAAAGAAAGACTCATAACAGAATCGATATTCATTAGGGTCACACCGGATACATGTAACAAGGGTGACTCAGCAGCCCAACCATCAAAAACCTGGAATATAATTCTGAATGCACAAAAATGAATGAACAAAACAAAATGAACGATATGTTTGAGTACAGATCACAAATGTGTGAATAAAACAATTCCAACAGTTGGTGTGTGATCTCGGGCAGTAATTTTGCTTGAAATATTACCAATAACAAACCTTATCATTTTGTATGTAAACTGTTGAAACATAATTATACTTTATTTAAAACAATTAGTTCCCTTTATGAATTTAGACAAAACAATACGAATTATAATAAATGTTTTTGTATTTCCCAATGAATGAAAAACAAAACGATATTACTGTTTCTACTGACGTTTCGCTATTTATTGCTGATAGCTTTACCAAAGTATTATTAAACCGGAATTTACAAAATCCACTCAGCATATATATATATATAACTAAGAGTTAAGGGGGGACAAAATAGACTTAGGTCAAGTTAAAAGGAAATATTGGAAGTCAAAATAACAATGAAGATCACTAAACCAAATATCAACGGTAATACATAGTACATCTGTTATGATATCACAACAAAGTGTACTAACTTGACCATCGTTCGTCAGTCTGGGGTGATTTTTCGTTGTCAAGTTGGTCAATTGGTTGAGATAACAAAACTAAGTGTAGCTTGTGAAATAATTAGGCATACTGCGAAGCAACTTTGTCCATATAAAAGACCGAATCCTTAAAGATTCTCTGTCTAATTGTGTCTATAAAATAAAATGCTTGGAATGTGATGCGATATACATCGGACAAACATCACTAGGAATCAAAATCAGAAGAAATAAACACCGTAGAGCATCTCTTCGATCACTGAGAAATTCAGTTGAACTAGAAAAACTTGAAAAATCATCAGCTATAGCTCATTTACACGCTATAGAATCAGGCCACAAAAATGATTTTGACAATATTGAAATAATCCAGAAAAACTTCAGATATCACAAAAAATGTCTAATATCAGAAGCATTTCATATCAAGGGGAATCCACATTGCCTGAATAGGAATGATGGACTAAAACTGACATGGTTACAACATCTCCCTCCCCCAAGAAATGACCAAATCAACACAAATGTGATAGACAAATTTCACTATGTAAACACACACTACTTTTATAATTTTACACACTGATCAAATCCAACAATCTACACTTGATTTTGTTATCTTTACTAATTGACCAACTTGACAACGAAAAATCACCCCAGACTAACGAACGATGATCAAGTTAGTACACTTTGTTGTGATATCATAACAGATGTACTATGTATTACCTTTGATATTTGGTTTAGTGATCTTCATTGTTATTTTGACTTTCAATATATCCCCTTTAACTAGACCTAAGTCTATTTTCTCACCTCTTAACTTTTTGTTATATATATATATATATATATGCTGAGTGGATTTCGTAAATTCCGGTTTAATAATACTTTGGTAAAGCTATCAGCATTAAATAGCGAAACGTCAGTAGAAACAGTAATATCGTTTTGTTTTTCATTCATTGGGAAATACAAAAGCCTTTATTATAATGAAAATCATATTCCCAATGTCCAAATTTTTTAAAACCATTAAAAGTGAACTTGGTTTGGACATATTTAAGACAATAAGAAGACGTAATTTGTCCGAATCGTGTAATGGCATTTGCGCAACACATTTTGAACAATCTGATCACATACAGACTTGTCAAAGAGACATATACGAATGCGATTAATAAAGAGTTAAGAGGTGAGAAATAGACTTAGTTAAGTCAAGTTAGAGGGACTCATTGAAGGTGAAAATAAAAATGAAGACCATTCACTAAACCAAATAACAGAGGTGACCAATAGTACATCTACCCTGGCTGGTATCAAAACTAAGTCTACCGAGGAAGGTTTAATGTGATGACGAATTGTTGCTTTGAACGTATAAAGGTGGTTTAAACCTTCTCATTACTAGCTAGGTCTTCAAAAAACTTTAGGATATGCCCCAAACATGTTTTATAGATAGGTATAAAGGATGTGTTAACGTCAGTTTTATGTCCTGTCTCCTCTGTAATATGTTTCCCAATAGAGGAGCTAGGTTGTCTTCTGTTCTCACCATTAATGGATTCTGAAGATTCCATTTGTTTCTGGAGCCACTTAGGAATATGCTCTGAAGCCCTTATTTGCAGAGATCGATGAGTCCTCCCTATGTATGTGTGTCCACAAATACATTCAAAGTGATAAATACAGTGGGATGTGACATCATTTTTTGCATGTTCGAAGGGCATAGATAGATATATTGGCTTCCTATTCTCAATTATTATGATATTAGCTGCATAAAAAGTCTTTTTAACAGCAGCGTTCAGCCTTTGTCTAGTTATCAAAGTGCTATGATGCCTCATATAAAGTAGCTTGATGTACACGTCTTTCTGAGAGGCGAGTTGCAGAGTGGGTCTTAGTGTTCCACTGACCACTTTATATCTCATGATGAACTTGTCTGGATAATTGTTATCAACCAGAGTTTGTGTCAACTTTCTTTCTTCTTCATCAAGTGTGTCCGACTTCAGGGCATATTCGTTGGATTCTACTGAAGAGTCACCTCGTGTACTAAGGCTCTTTTGTACCGAACAGGGCAGAAACTGCAGTAATTAAGATACTGTCCTGTCCAAGTAGGTTTTCTATCCATCAAGTCGTCGACTAAGCAATATGTCTAGGAAAGATGAACAATTATCTTCCTGTTCTACAGGTGTAAGTGATATGCTATTCTGAACTTTCTTCATTCGATTTAAAATTGCGATGGCATAACAAGACTTTTCACTAATGTTCACAATATCATCTATATACATTCTAAAAAAAGTGGCACATTTTAGATTAAATCCTACGATAAATTCACAATGTATGACATATATAAATATCTGATAAAAAAAGGGCCCTTACGGACTTTCGATAGCAACACCATAAACTTGGCGGAAAAACAATCGCCTTGGTCTATATCACAATGCTCCAAACGTTTTGCTGACTGACATCTATCAGGCAGGTTTGTATTTCAATGTTTAATGTCTATTTTTTTTCTCGTTTTGTTTCCTTTTCATTTTTAGATACATTAAAAATTGCCGAAGGCGGTATAGAAATATCTTCACAAGAGATATGGGGTGTATTACACGCCTTAGAAACTATCCTACAATTGACTTATAGAAGTGAATGGGATTCGGTGAGTTGAAATTAATTTTTGGAATCTTACAAAGCTTCTCATCTCATGTCTTCTTCACTTTGATAGAAGGTGATTTATCAAGGTGATATAAGTGATGTCCCAGTATATTTACATCGTGGAATTATGATTGACACAGCTAGACATTTTCTAAGTGTCTCTGAGATTGAAAAAATCATCGTAAGAAGTTATCGTGGTTATTATCAGTGATATTTATGAAAAATAGGATGCAATGTCCATGGTTAAAATGAATGTTCTACATTGGCATGTTACGGATGATGAATCATTCCCGTTTGTAGTGTCAGCTTACCCACAACTATCGGCACAGGTAATATTTTATAACATTTTGATTTATTAATATATGCATAAATTATTCAGGGTGCTTATAATCCTCAATTGATGGTCTATCAACGTAATGAAGTGTCATCTTTATTAGAGTATGCACGTTTACGGGGTGTACGTGTTATGGCGGAATTTGAGACTCCAGGTAAGTGTTAATTTGGTGTTGTGGCCTTTTTTAAGTTTTACTCTGAGTAATTAATTCTTTATACAATCATCAATTATATTTTTTAAGTAATTCAACAATGATAAATGTCTCAAAAATATTCCCATTTATAATGTTAGAACAAGACATTTAATAAGTGAATAATACTGTTGTTTTCAAATAGATCTTCTTCTTCAGGCTTTATTCTAACTTACATAGATTTATATATACAAAATTTTTAACCAATGATGGTGATTTTGGTGGACCATATAATGATAATAACAATTTTTCTATAAAGCTTGGTTTGTAAGGGTTAGTTTTGGTTTTACGAGCTGATCACGAATTGATATCACCAGTTAGAGAAACAGTGAAAACCAGCACTGGAGTACTGGACAGCTGCTGTTTCATCCTAGTTTGTGAATCATCAGCACTGAATCATTGAATGAATGATTCAGTGTCCATGATATCGATCCGTGATCAACTCGTAAAAATAATAATAATAATAATGCGGTAAATGCTTTGAACGTAATTAATAACGATGATTATAATGATAACAAAATAATGATAATAAGGTTTATGCAGGTGGCGATAAGAAGAATACCAAAGGTAGTCATCGATATGTGCATATGTAGACAATTCAATAAATAAATTGGGTCAGATCTTAAAAGTTACGTAATACTAAAGGTGAAGTGGACAGATAATCAGAGTTTAAGTAATAAATATCATAAAAGTAAGAAGGAGATGGAAAATAAGAAAGGGTGGGAGGGTTTTGAATAGAATTCACCTAGGCTAAGCAAGGCAGAGACAAAGGTAGAACAAACTTCTTTTGCTGTATGCAAAGACATTAGGATTATTCTCTCCAGAGCGATGAAACGGATTTATACTACCGCTACCCTTTGTTTGTCATTTTCCATCTGCCAACCAATTATGATTGCTCAAGTGAAAGACAAGCTACCTAGCTGTTCCACTTCGATGTGTATCTATAAATTTAGTTGCTCCTGTGGGAAAGCTGGCTATATAGAACGAACAACTAGACAGTTTAACAAACGCATTAATGAGCATTTCCTTCATGGTTCGGAAAAGGTCAAATAAAATCTATATGAAGTTCTATTTTGGCTCATTTGACTGATAGTGGTCACTAAAATGGACAAAAATAGTGTCTTCAAAGTTATCTATCGCATTCCATCTAGTCTTTCAGACGGAATCAGAACAGGTCTTTTACATTTAGCCGAAGCTATGGGAATTCGAAAGAACACTCCGAGTGTCTTTACATACAGCAAAAGAAGTTTGTTCTACCTTTGTCTCTGTCTTGCTTAGCCTAGGTGAATTCTATTCAAAATCCTCCCACCCTTTCTTATATATATATATATATATATATATATATATATATATTTATAAAAATCTATGTAAATTAGAGTAAAGTCTGAAGACATTATGTCAGGTTGTTAATTTCACTTTTAGATGCATACGTGACTTACATAAACTGGTTCGGTCATATGGTTATAGTATCATAGATATCAATGAAGTTGAAATTTTCAAGTATTGGTTTGTAGGGATTTTGTGTTTGATTGGATGGAGGATTTCATCACATGAGCTGACATCAATTAGAGAACCAGTGTACTACTAAAGAATCTCAAACTAGGACAAAACAGTTGTCCAGTACTCCCAGCTTGTTTTCCAGTGATTCTCTAACTGATGTCAGCTAATGATGAAATCCTCCATAGAATCAAACAAAAAATCCCTACAAAACCAATACTTGAAAATGAATCTGATGCTCACTAGTGACTAGCGGTATTCAGGTAGTTAGTTACCTGGGGTTCTAATGGGAACCCTTGACCAGTAGGGTACAGCAGGTTGAAGATGAGGCAGTAACTACTCATCGAAGAAGACGTTGCAAAATGGTCGCGCTATGTCGTGAATTGGTAGAAGTTATAATTCATAGGCTGGCCATTGAATTGGGTTCCAGTGGCTGGTGAATGGTCTATGAGCTAGCTTGCCTTGTAAATAGTAGGCTCGAGGTTCGAACCCTGACGGTGATTCTCAAACTAGGCTGATGAAACAGCTGTGCAGTAGTGCTGCAGTGCTGGTTTTTTCCAATGGTTCTCTAACTGGTGATATCAATCCGTGATCAACTCGTAAAAACAAACAAAACTAGTCCTTACAAACCAACTATAGGAAATTTTTAAATGATTGAGAATTCCAAAGGACTGACTACTTATAGGATAATTAGAACAATACTCATTAGAAGAGAGGATCAAAATGTTTGAGTTGAAATACAGTTCAAGTAGAAAGGGTATGACAATATAACGGAATACACAACTACAGGAAGTATAGTTCTGTAAAACATCAAAAAGTGAGCTGGATGAGTCACGTTCAGATGAAACAATGAAGATTTCTAAAAGAAGAAAAGGAGATATAAGTGAATACATGACTTAATAAAACTGTGTGCTTTCTTATGTAAGTTTATTCATCGATTTCATCAACTTTGAAAAGGCTTCCGACAAGGTAGACTGTGAAGTAATCTGGAAACTTTATTCAACAGCTTTATGAGACAATGCCAAATGTCAAGTGATCCACTAAGCAGAACTCAGAGACGACTTTGAATTGGACACAAGAGTAAGACAAGACTGCTGCCTACAATTACCGGTGATATTCCTAACTGTTGCAGACTAGATTCTGCTGGAGACTATGGTGAGAGAGAAGACAGGAATACGCCGGACCACAGATAGGAAGACTCTAGAAGATCTGGATTCTGTGTGTGGATGGTATATGTCTAATGTCACGCAAACTCGAAGACTTACAGGTAGGCGAAACCAACAACCTGGCAGAAGAAGTAAGCAGGTAGGCAGCAAATACAGGACTGACTCCAGGTGAACGCAGACAGGATGGAGGTGATGAAGACATCTAACCACCACCACCACCATCAAGGACAACACCCAGCACCAATCACTATCAACGAAAGAAATTTGAAAGATATCACTTGCCTCACCTATCTAAGCAGCATAGTTGTAACTACAGGCGACAGCACGCTCATGAGAATGTCAAAGGCAGGCAGAATCAGAAAGTGAAGACATATCACCATCACTCTGAAGTCAGTTAGGAGATCTTCTACACTCAGTACAAAGCACGAAACTCGGATTTCCAAAATCAGTGATATGTCAGTTCCCTTGTATGAGTCAAAAACTTGGAAAGGTACGGAAAGCATTTCCAAATAGCCTTTTGAAGACTTTTATCAATAGCTGCCCATTTCTCTGACTCCCTATTGAAGATCAAATAGCATGCTATAAAAAATTAGCAGCAAGAAACTCTGGCTGACAGTGAACAAAGCAACCAAGAACTTCTTGGTCAGCAAATATGCTGAAGGAAGTGGAGATGGATGATACACACGCTGAGGAGGAGGCGGTCGAATGATATGGTGCGCCATGACATCACTTGAATAAAATTAAAATGGGAAACCACGAGTTGGATTTTGTGTCTGAGAGTGACATGGGGGAGATTTTGTGAGGATGAGATAAGAGACTATGAGACTCAATCATGTATCCAGCTAAAGAGGATCCCGTGGAACAAGATGAAGGTGTTCTTTTGAAGCGGTATTTTCCACTCAGAACCCAAGAGAACAGTTATTTATTATTATATCCTTTAATTCTTAGAGGAACATAGAGCTTCAGCTGCGCATCTCCACTGCCTTCTGTTTTCTGCCAACTTTTTCACTTCGCTCCAAGTCTGCCCACATGCTTTCATCTCCTCCTCACATGACCCCCTCCAAGTCACCGTTGCATTGACGACCAACTCGCCGCTTCCCTTTCGGGTTCCACTCGAGTGATGGCTTGTCTTGTGATGTCACTTGATGGTTTCCTCAGCGTATGGCCAATCCATCTCCATTTCTTCCTGCCTATTTGTTTCACAATCGGTTCGTGGTTGGTTCGCTCATTTCCAGAGATCCCTGTTGCTGATCTTTTCTGGCTGGCCATCTGATCTTGAGTATTGAGCGGAGACAACTGTTAATGAAGGTCTGAAGTTTGTATGAGATGCTCTTTATGACGCGCTGGCCAAGTCTCTGATCCGTATAGTAGCACTGGCCGTCTTCACAGTGGAGTTGAAAATCCAAGTCTTATTTATGATGCTGAGTGCTGTTGACTTCCACACAGACTTCAGAGTAATGAAAGCCTGTCTTGCTTTTCCGATTCCGGCTTTGGTATCCTCGTCAGTTCCGCCTGTAGTTGAAACAATGCTTCCCAGGCAGGTGGGTGAGTAGGAGGTTGTTTCTTTCAGGTTCCTCCCATTTAAGCTGACTGTCGTCTGTTGTTGTTGTCTTTGCTGTTGATGTTGGCCAAGAATCTTCATCACCTCTGTTTTCTCTTCGCCTGAAGTGAAGTCCTATCTTTGATGCTTCTTTTGCCAACTTGTTGCTTTTCACTTGCATATCTTCGAGTTTGTGGGAGATCAGACATATGTCATAATCGGCGAAGTCCAGATCCTCCAAGTTTTTTGTGTGAGTCCATTTTATGCCTGTTTCCTTATTGCCCATTGTCTGTCGCATTATCCAGTCTACTGCAATCAGGAAGATCATTGGCGATAATAGACAGTTATAGAAGCTATAACCACCAAGATTGTGCAAGGTTGGCAGCTGTCTCTTTCTTCATACGTAGATTCAGTGAAATATAGCCCGTTAGGTTTATATTGCCTGTTTAATATTTTGATTTACTTCATATTGTCGACAATGTGACCAGTGTCCAATAGATGGCTCACCAACTTACTGTTTAATGTCTATGAGCTCTTTAGTTAAGAGGTTATTTGGTACATGTTCAGAAATGAGGAAAATAACCCTTCTGTCTGTATTATTCCAATGCTTGTGATCCAGCACGTACAGGTAAATTGGTAGATAAAGTCTAAGGTCTCGATATTCAGCGAAGTGACTCTTTTCAACGAAATTATTATCAAGCTGTACAATCCTATATATATGGTTTTTAAGAAATTATATCCGGTGAGGAAATTAGATCGAAAGTGTGAACACATGAAGTAATAGTAGTAGTATGAAATGCAGTTAAAATATTTGTGATTATAATCATAGTTAAATGTCAGGTAGCAAAACAATTAATGTTTTATATAGAATAGTACATAAGACGGGTGTATAGATGTTGGAAAGGGGTGCATAGTTATAGGATTAGTAGGCGAATATGAAACGTCACACAACATGGTGTGAAATTTAATAAGATAGAATGAATAAATAAATGTCTATCCCTCTATGGTCAAGGCAGAAGTAGGCATTGTACATACTTCTCTTGTGCACACAAAGGTCTGGCTTAAATTCATGAATGGCCAAGGCCTCCGCTGTCTTTAGAGGTCTGTAACGAAGAAAACGAGGCCCTAAAGTTAGCATTGATTGGGTAGATGATCTTAAAATCATGGTCATGGTTGGTAGAGTGACAGGAATCGATCAGGTGTTCTTGAATAGAGCTTCGCACATCCTTTCGCTCCCCCTTGTCGATCCATGTGGCTGGAATATGTTCTCGTATCTGTTTGAAAAGCGTCCTCTGGCTACGCCAATGTACCCTGCTCCACAGTAGCAGGTGAATTGGTAGATGCACGTGGAAGTGGCCAGACGGGGGAGCTTATCTTTTACAGAGATGGAGAACATCTTGCGGCTGGTGGACATCATTTGTAATTTTGCTGCAAAGAACATCTTACTGAGTGCTTTAGAGAGACAGTCTTTTGAGCATATCTGAAGCATGATCACCTTTGAATTCCAAGTTCATGAATTCGGTTTTCTTTGTTACTGAGTCAGTGATCAGTTTAGACGGCTTATCTTTCGTGTTACTGTCAATAAATAGGTTCGCGTAGCCGTTTCTGCGATCGTAGCTTTTACGAAGTCAAGTTCTGAGCCAACACAGTCAGAACTTCAAAGGTCTAAGGTGACACAAAGTGGAAGTCTGCTCACTTTTCATTTCCTTATACAACTAGTCACTTGATTAATCCATACAGTCATGGCGGCAGAGTATTTTCTTTTCAGGGCATCTTTTTTTACTGGCAAAATCATTACCTTTGAAGAGAGGCTCTGTTAAACTTTTCTACGTACAGATTTTATACTTGAATGAAACATAATTTAAAATGTTTCGTCAGTGCATTAAAATTTTCGTGTCTTCATAAAATTGAAATCTGTTTGTGTAATCAATGAGCGTATTTCTTAAATTAAATTTTATGATGACGTAATCAAGACAGATTTTGCCGACATCTTATTTACCTTTCGATTTTTTATTGCACTAAAGAACAAGTTTTTCGACAAACTAGAACCAACAAAACTGCAGGATAGGCTTTGCCTAGTGACGTCTTCAATCTTCTGTTGACAATGGCTGTAATATTTTCACCTTTCTAATCTAGTTGAATGTGGATTGACCTTTTCTCTACTGTGATTTGTTTGACATTTGAGACTTCTGATCTTCCATACTTGTTAGTGAACCTCTGAGGGTAACCGTTACTTTTCAACATCTTTTTGAGAAACATAAATTCTTCCTCTAATTTTTCTATAGAGCATAATCTCCTCGCTCTATAGCATAGAGTCGTGGTTAGTCCTCGTCTAAAGGTATTTGGTCTAAAACTATTAAAATATAGGTATTGTCTATTCCATGAAGGCTTTTGGTGAATTGATCTCTGACGACTACCATCTTCTAGGCGTTGCATGCCACTGTCAAGGAGATGAAACTCTCCGTCATTTTCATGTTCCACAGTAAATTCAATATTTGTATGTGCGTCGGTGAATAATCTGAGTAGGTAGGAAGCATGACTGTCATCTTTATATCGACAATAAAAAGTTGTTTCGTCGATTGCATGCTTCAACTTTGTTTTTTTAAGCTTGGAAATGAATATATCTGTTAAAACCAGGCTGAGTGGACTACCCATAGCTACACCATCTACTTGGCGGTAAAGACTGTTGTCAACCTGGAGTCGTACATCTATGATACACAATAACAGTAGGCGCTTTAATTCTGACTCTGGGGTGGGAGAAGATGAGAATGCTGGCAAATGATCTCGATAGTGTCACTGATTGCAATGCTTATGAACAAAGAGGTTATATCAAATGACACTATGAACTAATGTGAAACGCTCACGTGGTTCACGCATTCAGCAAAATGAAATGAATTTTTCATGATGTACAAAGCTAGCCTTTGACAAATGGATTCCACCTTCGCTTGAAGCCAACGACCACCTCATACTGAGGCGAGTTGATCATCGAAAGTATAAGTCTCAGGGGGACTTGGTTTTTGTGCGTTTTTGGACTGATATAAATGTACAACAAACGGGACCCTCAGGGTTTCAAATCATTTTACGAATTGTTGTCAATCAATTTTTCTCTTTAGAAGATCTCTCAATACGCTTGTGATACATTTTTCAACTGCCTCTCTCTTATCCTTTTGGCGATTGTCAACTTTAAACCTCAACAGGTCATTTAACACAGTTTTCATCTTTGCGATGTAGTCAATGCGATATTAGGTACCTCCATTTAATTATACTTTTCTCTCTGATCTTTATAGCTCACACACAGTCATGGGGCAGCATTTCTAACACGTTCCTTACCCAGTGTTACAAGGACGGGCAACCAGAGGATAGATATGGTCCAGTCAATCCAAGTGATGAAGAAACTTTCACAGCTCTATCAAATATCTTTAATGAAGTTCTCGGTGTATTCCCTGATACCCTACTTCATTTCGGTGGTAGCGAGGTAACATTTGACTGTTGGTAAGTGGAGTACTGTTGATTATTTTATACTTGGAAGTAATAATATAAAAAAGGTTTGAAATACTTTGAGCAAACGACATTGACATCATTATTGGTTCCTTATGTTACGATTGGAACGTAAGGCTTCAACACGAGGACATCTGCACTTCATTCTGTTTTATGCAGTCATCTTTACTTAGCTGAAAGACTGACCATAAGCTGAACTTTCCACCATGTCACTGTCGGACAGACATTCAACTCATCAGTTCCTACTCAAGTTCCACTTGAGATATGGTCTGACGCGCGATGCCATTCAGCAGTCTCTTCAGGGTGTGTCGAGTTGCCCTCTATCTCTCTAGGGATATTTATTGAGCAATAAGTTGTTAATTGGTCATTATCTTGGAGGAGATTGCTTCCAACTGCATAAGAGCTTCTAGGGCATCTGGTAACATCAGGGTAGCCACTCACCACTCAGTGTACTCATGTTTATCACCTGGGCGAGGAGATTAGATTATTGCCTCTTCAGCCGGCAATTTGGAGAGTTCACATTCACTCCACTACCCTGTCTTCTCATTTCTTTTGCAATATGAGTAGCCTTCTCATCTTCAAGCATTCATCATGCTGACATTCCTTTTTTTTCGTGCTTATTTCTGTTTCCATTGAAAGAAGACGCATCGACTGACTGGATTCCTGAAGACTTTCACCAACCCACGTCATTTAGTCTTTCTAGTTCCAGTCGAGAATAGATTTGATGTTTATATTTCACCCTATATAAGGTTCATTTTTTTATTATTTTGAATGATTGAAGGATTTCGTAAGGGAATACGTAACACTGTTATCTGCTAAAATGTTCCCTAAGTGGAAATTTCTCACTTAAGTAATAAAACACAATATTAAATTTGTCAATTCCATGTTGACATCAAATCCCCGAAAAAATCCCATTGGGTCATGAGGAAAATAAAAGACAAATTCAACCAGCGAAGAAAATTTTCTTCATCAACGAAATCATCCTCAGAGGCTGCTGTACAGTCGTATTTGTATTTTTTACCAAAAATGTATAGTAGTCTATTATTGAGTAATGGGGTTGGTGGGTGGGTGACATAATGATATAATTACTCAGAAGTGGCTTTAGAAGTAAAAAAATAAAAGTTGTAAATTACGTATTATTCAATGGCACAAAGGAAGATATGGTTGGTGCCAGAGAAACTGCTATTTATGAACGCTGAATTTAAAGGTGATACAGCAGCTGAGATCCTGAAGAATCGCTGGTTATGCAGATCTCTGAGCTGATCTACGGATCAATTTCTACAGCCGATAAATGATCAATGGATGTGTGAAAGACAAAATGCTGTCACTTTGGGCCGATTCAATGTGTGTTTATAAATTCACCTGCTCATATGGAGCCAGTTACATTGGCCGCCCGCACAAAGCGCACGCTTTCCAAACGCATCTCTGAACATTATCGGGCATAGTTAGCCAAAAGGACAATACCAGACAGTTACCAGCTCAGTTCTCGAGCACTTGGTGTGAGCTCAAAGCACACAGCTTCACGAGAGTCGTCTTTCAATACCATCTACAAAGTGAAGCCAAATGGTACAAAGGGCGTCAGGTTTCGGTTGGAAATTATTCAACAAATTCCCGATCTCTGTATACAAAAAGAATTTGCCCAGTCTCTTATTCTATCATGGTCTTAGCCGCTTCACTAGTCGTTCCCGTAAATTTTTTATTTTTAACGGTTACTTTGTTTTTACTTGATAATTAGTTCACTGCTGTCACTCTCACATGTTCCTTTTGTGCATTCTCACACCTTCTCCACACTTCCTAAATTGACACTCAACTAACATCACCTTTCTTCTCACTCCATACCAATTTTAACCTTATCAAATTTCTAACTCCTTTGTTCCATTGAGTACCACTTAACTTACAACTTTTATTTTTATTTTTTTACTTCTGAAGCCACTTCTGAGTAATTATATGAATTATGTCACCCCCTTTTACTCAGTAAAACTATACATTTTTCGTAAAAAATATAAATACGACTGCATGGCAGCCTGTGGAGATGCTTTCGTTGATAAAGAAATTTTTCTTCGCTGGCTGAATTTGTCTTATTTTTCCTCCATATTGATTAGCATCTGAGAGGCCATATTCTTGTCTGACATTTTCTAAATGTCATTGATTTTTTGATGAATTACTGTCAAAAATAATGAAGAGGTGGGTTACTCAAATGTTTGATTGTGTCAAAAGTTATTACGCATTAATATCTATGGTGTTTGAGATAGCTTATTAGTGTACAAACTATCTTCGAAGTTTAAGAATTGAATAACTGGGCTACAATCGTTGCATATTGATTGATGTAAGGACAAAACTTGGGCGCTGTGGCGGTAGAGTATAACTCCAATAATGGATAAGATTTTATTTTGATAAAATCACATAGTGTAGTGTTGTTATACAGTACTGTTTACTGATGGCATTTAAACTTACAAACTCACTCATACAGGGCAAGCTCTGTAGGCTAAAGGATACGGTGGATCCAATCCAGCAAAATAATATAATTTACAAAATACTTTGCAATGACTGTGAGTTGGGTCAAATACATAGGTAAAACTATTAGGTCAGGGGTAGTTAGACTGCCTATCAGAACATAATAATTTAGTGGCTAAGGTTAGAATGATTGACCCCGAGAAGATGAGTAATTTAGAAACAGCTGAGCAGCAATCTCACTGCATGCATTAACGCAAAACAACATAATAGGGTGGGTGGGACACAGTCCAAATTCTAAGAAGTAATACAGGTAGGTGGAGATCGAGAGAGATTGATTACTGAATCTTGCCTGGTTCATGGAGTCTACACCCATTACATGCAACAGAAGTGACTCAACGTAAATACCAGAGATATGGAAGATATTATTACCACCAGTCAGTCAAATTAGAGGAGGATAATAAATAATCTTAAATTGTATTCTGTTTCAATTCACATACATCATAACATTCTAACAAGTTACTTATTATTATGACTATAAAAACACTCGTCTTATTTCCCATCTGATGATTGTATTTGATTGATAACACTCATATTATTATTTACGAATGTACTTTATCTTATATTGATTTTATTCAACTGTCTGATCAAGTTTTACTCATGTAGATAAACAAAGCAAGAAAGCTGTGTGAGTAACTTGATATGATATGATTATCAGCAGCAATAGTTTGTGCTCGAATCGTCATCAGTAAATTTTGATTTTTTTTTTATTTACGGCTTGATTCCACACTGTATTTTTGGTACAAGTATGGAATTTTCAGCATGGATATCAGTAGCCCAAATTTTGCAGGCCGACCATAGATATCAGGTGTGCGCCGGCGTGGGCTCGAACCCCGGACCATGTGCATGGTCGGCGAGAGTCCTAACCACTGTGCCACCGACGCACTGTATAATACTGTGAGACTTTGATTTGACACTAGTAACTAGTGTGATGCGTCTAGTCCTCTGATTGGTGTAGACTGAATTCTATCAGTCAGGTTGTAATGTGGCCACCATTCTAGGTGGCTCGCCATTACAGCAGCACTAGGTGACGCGGGTTCGAATCTCAGAAGCAACATGAGTTCCTTCAAGGTTGCAGATACGCCTTGCTGACTAGTGAGTGCCAACTAGCACGAAACCTAGGTTCAAGGCTTCCTGTGGCCGATTGCCTCCAACCATCTAATACTGTTAGACTTTATCAAAATAGAATTTTATCCATAATGGGATAATTGCATATAATTCAAACTGTGGATATATAACCATTTGATTACAGAGAAAGGCGATGATGTTTGCAGTGAAAGAGACTTATATGCATACATATATGTCTTTGTTAAAACACTTTTGTCGATGAAAATTAACTTGATTATAAGCACTAAATTTTGAGAGTGTAAAACTTTTACAATTCTATCATCATCAAAATTAAGTGTTATTCAGGTACTGGTTTGTCAGGGATTTGAATAGTTTCCGCATTTCATCATGAAATGGCATCGGTTGGGGAACCATTGTAAAACCAACACTGGAGTACTGGACAGCCAGCTGTTTCGTCGCGTCAGTTTGGAACCGTTCAGCAGGTCAGGTGTGAGGGCAAATACACACCAGCAATGATATTCACTAATACCAGTCGCCCCATATCGTGAATTGGCCTAATGCTCGCCTGCATTTGAATCCCGGTAATTGGTGCGTATTGATGAAGAGTTAGTCGTTAACTAGTCTGTCAAAACAGCTGTCTGTCCAGTACTCCAGTGCTGGTTTTCCAATGGTTCTCTAACCGATGTGTCAGCTCATGATGAAATCTTGAGTAAAATAAGTGTCTCAACGTCAGTACAAGTTGATAGACCTTCGTTCTCGAGCCTTTTATTCCATTTACTGTAGTCTTTTTCTTTAATGTTGATATGATAACAACTTGATAAAACTCCACTCGGTGAAGTTGGTTCACTTCTCTGAGTGAGCATTCCTCCTAAAATCTCCCAACTGTAGCATTTGTCGATAATGCCAAAAGTCAACAAACTCCATTTATCAAGAAGTTTGGTGTCTGACTGATGGGAAAATCATTCCCAGAAGATGACCTTTCAACATTGATTACAATGTAGATTTTATTATTTCTATAAAAGGTATTCGCCTTAATTTCGTATAATTGTGTATTTTCAATTGAACCAACTCCGCCTAAATTCAACTGACCCTACATAGAAACCTGACATTGAAAATTTAACTCATTGTAATTGAATGTAACTGGTTCACTGGTAGGACACTAGTCAACCAAGCTAAGTGGTCTGGGGTTCCATCACCAGCCGACTCACTCCTTTACCTTTATTAGCCAATAGTAAACCCAGCGAAGGGGGAAGTTTGGGCATGAAGCTATCGACCCCATCCGGTAAACAAAACACCACTTCAACAAAACTTCACAGTTCTGTCTTGAAGGCGGCCTATCTTCTATTGGAAACTCAATGGAATACAAAAAACACCTGAATGTATGTGGGGCAATGCGATTCATATTACACTAACTGATATATGGCCAAGTTAAACTCTAAGCAACAGTAAGTACCAATGGATTTCGACCACATCAATGACCTTGAAAAGCTAAGTGAGCTAGCGAAACCTGGTAAATATGATATTGTAATCATGAATAAAATATGCCTAATGGAGTGTTGTGCCAATAAATAGGATATCTGGCAAGTCTCATCAGGTTAGGTTTGGGAAAGATTAAGTTAATGTTCAGGCTAAGGACTGTTTTAGGTTAGGTTAACCCCAATGAGAATGACATTAGGGTTGGTTCGAGTTAGATTAGGGTTATCTCAGGGATATTTTCACGTTAGGCTTAGGTTCAAGAAGATTAGGGTTATTTTTAGTCTTGGAAGACCTGAGTAGTTACATACATCGGATGTGGTTAGATTACTCTGTCGATACTCCAATCCAAAACTGAGAGGTATTTTTGCCACACGTCAGAGAAGGGTATCCTGTGTAACAGTCTCATGCCTTATAATTCATTACCTTCATGAATTTGCGTATTCTATACGCAATAATTGCCTTTATTATGTGTTTTATGCATTTGAGCTCATTTCTCCGTTGGTACTTACTGGTGCTTAAAGTTTATCTTTGCCGCTTAATCTTTTCAGTATTCATTTTCGAAAGTGTATGTTTGCATTACTTGTAAAATATGACCACGTATAGGCATGTCTTGGCGGTCCCTTTGCACAGCACTGCTGTACCCTTAGCATCATCTTTAAGCTGTGATCATAGAGAGATTTATGATGTTGCTATTAATAATAGTAAGAAGATTTCTCACGTTTGACCACAAAATGATATCACTTAGAGAACAGTTGAAAGTCATAGGGTACTGAACAGCAGTTTCGATCTAGTTTGGGGCTCATCAGCAGAACGCATCCACAGGGAATGTAACGCAAGACCTTCTGGTTACAGAGCAATCTAGTAGACCATTCAGCTATTGGGGCCCTACTCAATGATTAGCCCATAAATCCTAACTTCTATCGATTCGTGGTTTTACCGCGACCAATAGACAACGTCATGGGCTAGTACTTGTCCTCAATCCCAACTGGATGGACCTCACTGGTCAGCTAAGGCAGCTTTACCTAGTGGCCAATCCGAATTAGGTCCCAGTGGCTGAATAGTCTACTTGCTTCCCTTGTAATTAGTAGGTCTTGTGTTCGAAATCCAGTAGATGTGTACTGCCGATGAGTTCCAAATCAAAACGAGACAGCTGTCGGGAACTCCAGTACAGTTTTTCAAAGTCCTCTAACTGAAATCAATCCTCCGTGGTCAAAACTGAAAAAAACAAATCGAATCTTTACAAACTAACGCTTGAAAATAAATCAACTTTATTTTCGAATCTATTCACACTCAGGCAATCTAATCCAACTATTCAAGAATTCATGCAAACACAAACCCTTGGCGATGATTACAATTCACTCGAAGATTATTATTTCCGAAAACTTATGGAAACTGTTCTTGGAGCAAATTCATCAGAATGGACAGTTTCACCAGTCATTTGGGAGGATGTATTTGATAATGGATACCGTGTAAGTAGTTTTTCTTTTTTGCAGTAGTCTCTACACACACATATTCTAGTTTCAAGCGTTTCTCAATTTATTTTGCCTATGAAACGTTTTTTTGTTTACCAGAATGATATGAAACGATGCTGAACAACTTTACTCATAATTTCATGAACAGTTAACAGTTAGCTAAATTTATTGTCTCTGTGAGAGGAATTGTGATATTGTGCGGGTGTACTACTGATAACAGTTATCAGTAGCATACAAAGAGATGTTCACTGGAATAAAAATAACATCCTGTAACATCTGGTTCATTTATCGGTCGACTGCGTCTTTTCAATGACATAGGACTCTTCGCGTTGTGAATTGTGCCATTTTAAGACAAATCAGTGGGATTTCATGCTTCACCTAATCACAGTTACCCCAGATGTCCCCGTCTCCAGTGAACAGATAACAGTATTCTCTAACTAACACTGTCATATTCTATGCTTTCAATGCCTTAACTCCTGGTATTTCGTTTCTCTCATACATGCTGATAGGTCCATACCTCCTATTCATTGCCATCTCTTTCGTGTCGATTGCCGCACTGATCTCTCGAAAAAAATCAGCTTCAAATATTGTTCGTCTTAACTTGGTTGCAACAATAAACAGGGGCGTTTCTTTGCAATCGCCAATAAAAACACTACAGTTTGACATGCCGAGATGCTTAACACATGTCCACCTAGAGTTTGAGCTGTCGATGAACACGATCTGACACTCTGACATAGATTCCTATGTATTAGCGAGAATTTCACCTCTGTATCTATCTCGGTTATTCACTTGCAACTTAGAATACGTTGTCCCTGCCCTCAATAGAGCCCACTACTTCTAGTCTTATAAGAGAGAGAGAGAACAGACATTATGCTGTCTGAAATTTTTATTCTTCTTCTTCTTCTTTCTGGGTAGTGCTCCCTTCAATATCCTGCTTCTCCATGTTCAAAGCGTCTGCTTTCCTGGCACTCATTCGTAGTGCTGCTACTTCACGCTGCAAGTCTTCCACTTTCTGTTTCTATTCGTTCATATTCGGTGTCTGTATTGTGGTGGTTACCGTTGTGCTCAGCAGCTCTCTGGTCACCTTCGCTAGCTCACCATTGTTCATAGGAAGTGCAGCGTTAACTAGATTTCGTTGCTGATAAATGTGGTCTGGGACACTCTCGATGAACTGAGACGTGGGTAGTGCACAACACGCAGTGGATTCCTCGGCTTTACCGCCAACACTAGCGTGTCTGCGTCCGGTTTCAGCTATCCGGTGCGGAACTACTGCATGGCCAACTGCCTGTCTGTCAGTCTGGCTGTCGAACTCCACCACTGATCGTCCAACCAGTACATCTAAGGTCCTCGTATCATGCAACCACTCCAGACTGTCGTATGCCGCCTATGCTCGGCCTCTCAGCAGTGTCCCCAGCTCGACCACTTTCACCGTCGGATCCTTGACGTCCACTATCTCAGCAGCTGCTTTAAAGTCTCACAAGAAGCTCCTTATATCTGCTTCCTTGAAAGCAGTTGGTGACAGAAGCAGCAACACCAACTGCAACGATAGAAGTGACTTATCAAAGGAAACCAATCCATACTTTCCTTTGTATAGCTTGACACACCTCCGTGAGTCACCCGCAGTCAGTATGTACGCGTTTCTACAATGTCAAAACATGGTTTTGTGTAATAGAATCTGTACAATAATCACTTATATCAAAAGTAAAAAACTACCTCAAAAGTGCCGTCAGGCAGTAGTTGTACAATCCGAAAGTTTCTGAGGTACAAAATGTGTACTGAACAATGAAATTAAGTAACAAGAGAAAACTTCAGGTCAACTAAGAATCATTTAAAATATTTTCGAAAATTTGATATTAAAAAGCTCTCTGCAAGAATCGAATAGGACACAACAATTTTCCTGCAGACACCACAAGGTTAAGCGATCATTCCATGGCGTAACCTTGAATTTCCTTTTATATAAAATCGCAATGATAAAGTAACATTCTTATCAGCAGTCTATCATCCCACAAGCAGACAAGATAATACTGGGTATTAGGAATCAAGCAAAAATAAGGACAAATATATTAAGGATTAAGTCAATTAACATCAACGAGGAGGGGAGAGATTTGACACACATTACTTCTTACCTTCACTTATCTAGGCAGCCAGGAAGCCAACACGCTTTTAAAAACACAGGTAGATAGGCAGACAAGTAGGCTGTCGGACAATACTGATGGAGATGTCAAAGCCAGCCTTCATCAATCTGTATTCAGTTTGGAAATCTTCAGCTTCACTCATTTACTCACTTATTCAACCAGCCAACCAGCCAGCTAGCATGAAAAACAAGATTCAAATTCTGCTCAACACAAATGTGAAGTCAGTCAGTGAGTCACTCTTCTATATTGCACTGCACGTGAGTCAGTCACGAAAAGGATTTGCAAAAAGGCTAGTGCAGACTCCTAGTAACAGCTGCGCTCTTCGCTGGCTGGCTGGCTGTGGTTGGCTGGCTCCATACTCAAGATTAAATGGCCAGTCGGCTGGCCAATGAGAAGGAATTAGCAAGAAGAGAGTCTGTTGATGAACGAACCAACCAAGGAAGAGCCGATTGATTATTCAATAGATATGTAGGAGAAAATGGAGGTGGATTGATCAGACACACATGTCACTGAGGAGACCGTCAGTCGAGTGCAGTCCGAATGGGAAACGAGTGACAAATGGCTGGTCAGTGCGAGAGTGATATGGAGATGAGAGATTATGGGCAGTAATCGTGGGTCTAGCCAGCTGAAGAGGAGAAGACAGCAGAGAATAGAATACAGTGAAGATGTGTTGTTGAAGCCCTATGCTGCACTCAGAACTAAAGGAAATAATAATACTAAGTTGAGGGAGACATGCAAATGTTAGAACAATGATGTACAGTTCAGGAGAAAAGGAACGTCTTTAACGAATCTCTTTTATACTGAAAAGGAAAAAAGCTGTGAAAATGAGCACACTGTGTGTTCCAAGTACTTTTCTTATGCGAATTTTCTTTTTATGCTAACGTCTGGTCTTATTGTCCGTAGGACGTTTTAATAGGCAATGCCCTTTCAGGATTCATCTTCATACGTGAATTTGATAGCTAAATGTACTTCGTTGAATTGAGATATTATTGAATTCTTATCTAAATCCTTTTCAGATAAGATGAAGTTATCATTCATGAAATGGCAATGAAATGAGAATTTTTTCTGATAAAGTTAATAAAAGGAAAGAAATCTTTCTGACTGATTTCGGAAATGGTTCTATATGGTCAGAGATCCCTGTTCAGAAGATCCGATTGAAGGCAACTTAAGGCCGTATATAACAGGTTAATTGAAAACAGTCATCTGGAAACGTTCATCACGACAAAAATGACCAAGAAAATAGAAAAATTCTTTTGCATCTGTTAACAGGAAGGTTCCATATTTACGACTTTACTTCAAAGGTGATGTATCAAGTAAAATAATAACCAACAAGTATAGGAGATCAATGTGAAAAACGTTTAGTTCTGGCAAGCTGCAGTTCACATTTTCTAAACGACCAGTTATGATTCCTCAACTGTGAGATGAAGTACCTGGGCTAGCCACCTCTGGTTGTGTCTATCAGTCCACCAACTCCTGTGGAGCCAGTTACATTAGCTATTGCCCTAGGAATCTAATCTGTCGTGCTCGAGAACACTAAACAAAGGTGTAGTGAAAATAGTCAACAGTTCCATATTAGATCACCTCGTCCAAATAGGCTGTAAATCTAACACTATTATTGCTAATATTGCTATCCTTGCCTTCTGTCGAACCTATCAATTCATAAATTCTCCATTACGTGCCTTAATTTTTCTGATATTCGGTTTAATTTATTCTTTTATTCTTGATTACAGCTTGATTCCACACCGTATTTTCGGTACAAGTGTGGAATTTTCAGCATGGATATCGGTAGCCCAAATTTTGCAAGCCGACCATAGATATCAGGTGTGCGTCGGCCGGGATTCGAACCCCGGACCATATGCATGGTCGGCAAGCGTCCTAACCGCTGTGCCACCGACGCACATTTTTATGCATATCACTAATCAAGATCCTTTTGAAACTGAATACGCAACGTTATTTGTAAATAGATTGTTATTAAAAAGACGGTTAATGGCAGCGAAGATTTTCTTTTCGACGAAGTCAACTAAGAGACTGTACATTCGTGTATTCATATTACATGTATGAGAAAGTCCAAAAATTATTTCCAGTCAGAGGTCAGATTAATAAAATTATTAATTTAATCATGAGCTGACATCTAACTGATGTCAGCTCATGATTAAATCCTCCATACAATCAAACAACAAATCCCTACAAAACCAACACTTGAAAATTAATCTGATGCTCACTAGCGACTGGCCCTATTCAGGCAGTTAACCTGGGGTTCTAGTGGGAAGCCGTGACCAGTAGGGTACACTAGGTCGAAGATGAGGCAGTAACTCATCGAAGAAGATATTGCGAAGTGGTCGCGCTTCGTCGTGAATTGGCAGAAGTTAGAATTCAAGAACCATTGGATCGGGTCCCAGTGGCTCAATGGTCTACGAGCTCGCCTTGTAACCAGAAGGTCCTGGGTTCGAACCCCGGTGGGTGCGTACTGCTGAAGAGTCCCAAACTAGGACGAAACAGCTGTCCAGTACTCCCAGGTTTTCCAGTGGTTCTCTAACTGATGTCAGCTCATGATTAAATCCTCCATACAATCAAACCAAATCCCTAAACAGAAGATAGATAGTGGTACTATTCTAGAAATATTTCAGGTCAAAGGTCAAATTAAAATCACAATGTGTAATAATCAGGAAGATCGGGTAGAAAAGACAAAATAGGATTATAATTACTAGAAAACTAGTCAGTTTGTATAATTACGGGTTGAGGATGTAGTATTAACGAAATAGGTAGGAGGTTCGAACACATAAAAATAAAAACAGCAACCAAACCTAATCATGCAGGTAGGGATTTAAAATGTAAATATAACAAATAAACGGGAAGGTTGGACAAGAAAGGTGGTAATCGGATAATCATTATTGGTAAAACTGACTTTCATGATGGCCACGGTAGGTAGAGACAATGTTGGACGTATTTCTTTTGAACACATAGAATAGGCTTGAGTTTCTGGATTGCTAGTACCTGCCTCAGCTATTCCTAGATGGCTTGATTTCACTCCCTTTGGTAGGTTGAATCGGATGTTATACATGGCTTTGAAGGAGTTTTCATATGGGATTGGATGTCTAGAATTCATTAGATGTTCTGTCATCAAATTATATACCCCCTATGCGTTCTCCATTCACTAGCCAAGCTGGATATTGTTCCGACCCGCGTTTTACAAGGTTATGCATGGTACCGCCAATCTACTCAGCTCCACTCGAACAAGTGAATTTAGATAAACATGTTGAAATGATAGATTGTTAATAAAGGAATTTTCATTATCAGTGATTCCTATTCCATTTTTTAATACAGGGTGAACCAGCGACTGTAGTACACGTACATCAACCTGAATACAAGTCAGTTGTAGAAGAGGCCACAAAAGCTGGATACAGAGTAATCTCTAGCTCCTGTTGGAAACTGAATGAAAAGAAGCTTGGTGATGATTGGAGAAAATATTATGAATGTGATTTCAGTACATTTGATGGTAAGTGAAATTTGGATTATTAACGATAAAGATGCTTTTTAGTTTGTTTATTAGATATATCAGACACAGTCAGTGAAATAGTATTAGTCAATGAATGACGTTTCGAATAAAATTTAATACTGTTCATAATCATATCGCCAATTATAATCACACAACTTCAAAACTTGAGTTTTATATTATTCATTATTCTTTCCCCTATTCGTCGTCGTAAGTGTAGTAGAATCTCCCTGATGTCCAGGTCGACAGGTGTCGAATCATTCCTGTCACACGTAATCTCCCCAGTTGATTCAATAAACGAAACTTCCTTTATCAACCTCTCCAACCCCATTCTCTTATATCAGATCTTAGAACTACCATCTTTTGTCCTATCCCATCCTATTGTATAGTTGTGTAATTGCATGTAGTGAGTGCTACAGCTGAAATAACTATTCTCCAGATTTCATATCTTATTCGGGCCTACTAATCTTAACCGATATTTGGATTTCCGATCATCCTATCCTATATCAGTAAAAACAGGATTGGTGAAAAGATTGAGTAATAGGGCTTAAAAACTCAGTAGTACCAACGGAAATCCAAGACAGGAAATGTGGCACACAAGAGATGCTTTGAATCTTGATAATTACCGGGATAAATCTGTCAGAAAGTATGTAGGAAAGTGTGAAAATAAAATAAATAATAATAGCAGTGATAGTCTTAATAATAATAATAATGGTGACATGCATGTCAAACATGCACAGAATGATGACAGCACCAACAACAGGGAATTTAAATCGCCATCAGTAGTACTTCCATACAAAGAAGAAGCTACGGAAACCACCTTACGGAGAATTCTTATCGATGTAGGAAGGAATTAAAGTGGCTGGCATTCACTCCTACCCCTCCCCTAACAAACTCAATTGGAAAGAAGCTTTGTTGGTTAAAGAATCAATCACTTCTGTGGTGCCAATTAAATAAAACAATTTAGTTTATTTAATACCCTGATGGAATGATTGTGTTTCAGATGAAATACATAGGTCAAAGTAGTAGAACGGTTTCGGTCAGTGAGTCAGACTAGCGGAGCACAAAAATCTAGCAGCAAAATCTAGATTAGTTGACGGTGATAAGATAAGAAATTTGGAGAATAATTAGTTCAGCTGTACCACTCACTACATGCACTTACACACTACCAACCACACAATAGAATGAAGAGATTAGATAACAGTTTCAAAATCTAAACTAATGTAACAGCAGGGTGGAGGAGGCGACTGACCACTTCAGCTTTGTTTTTCAAATCAGCTGAAGAGAATACGTGCAACATGAATGATTCAACACTTATGCACGCACCCTGACATCTGGAAGATTCTACTGCCTCACGACGACGAATAGGAAAGAATAATGAAGAATATAAAACTCGAGTTTTGAAGTCGTGTGATCAAAACTGACGATATGATTAGGAACAATGAATAAATTGTGTTCAAAACGTCATCCGGTAAATAGTAATACTGTTTCACTGACTGTGTGAAGTATCTAATAAACAAACTAATATGGAATTACTTACTACCACAATGCTCAAGTTCTTACACATATGATTAGATGCTGTTTTTTCGTATTTACAAAACTTTTCCATGAGATTCATTTTGTAATTAACCCCATGGGAAATATTTCTAAAATCTGTATCCATTCATAAAGTAAATTTTAACTGTATGAATCCTGGGCGTTTCAGTTACAGTTTCAACTTGTAGATTATTCAGTCACTGGCATGCAATTCAATAGATCCGACGAATTCCACGTTCTCCCGATTCGTGATATCTAAGGTGTAACAACTAGTCAGGGCCACTAAAACAGATATCCAGTACTCCCTGACTTCCTAATAGTTCTGAAATTGATGTCAGTTCAAACCCATAACCAATGAAGTACTTGCAAAACCAACACCTGGAAATCAAACCAAACTCTTCAGTGAAGCCTTCAGTAGAGCCAAACATGTTTCATTAAAGGAATTTAAGTGTTGGTTTTCAGGGAACTGATTAATTTTTTTTTTGATTACCGCTTGATTCCACACCGTATTTTTGGTACAAGTGTGAAATTTTCAGCATGGATATCGGTAGCCCAAATTTTGCAGGCCGACCATAGATATCAGTTGTGAGTCGGCAGGGAATCGAACCTCGGACCATGTGCATGGTCGGCGACGGTCCTAACCAATGTGCCACCGACGTACAGTTAGTTCACTTACGAGCTCTCATCAGTTAGAGGACCATTGGAAAACGAGGGAGTACTGAATAGCTGTTTTGTCGTACTTTGCAACTGATTGACATTACGCATTCACCGGGGTTCTGACTCAGGAGAATTCGGTTACAAGGCTAACTTGTAGACTATTCAGATACCAGGACCAAACCCCCAGTGACTAATGATTTACAGCTTCTAATTTGCTATATATATCATTCATTATAATAAAGGTTTTCTTCTATTTCACAATGAATGAAAAAGGCAAAACGGTACTGTTGTGCTTTACTGGCGTTACGTTATTTAATTCTAATAGCCTTATCAAAGTAGTATTATTCAACCAGAATTTACAAAATCCACTCAGCTTGCATTGTGTAACAACTTCATTATTGTTCCTCAGCATAAGATCATTTTTGCGTTGTCAAGTTGCCCAACTGGTAAAGCTAACTAAACAGGTGTAGATTGTTTGATTTGGTAAGTGTATAAGATTATAGAAGCAGCGTGTGTTTACATAATAGAGGAGGAGTGAGGTGTTGTAACCAGATCGAATTCTGTCTTAGTCCATCATTCCTGTTCACTTCAGACAGTTTGGATTCCATTTGATATTGAAGTGCTTCTGATGATGTGAGAGGTTCTTTGTGATTTCTGACATCTTTTTTCCGGGTTATTTCAATATTGTCAAAATCACTTTTGTGGCCTGATTCTATCGCGTAGCGTGTAGACGAGCTATGGTTGATGAATAGTTTCTTGCAAGAAAATGTCAGTCGTAGACTGGCGGCGAAGTATGTTTTCCTGAGAGATTTTGAAAGCCCTAAGCCAAGAATTTCTGATTCAGTATCACTTTTAAATTCAAAATTAAGCCTCAGCATCTTTCTTTTGGGGTGGGGGGCGGGTAGACTTGGACCTGATCAGACGTCTGAACAGCTACGAGCACACGACTAACCCTAGAGGGACCAATCAGAATGATCAATGTTTCTCATATAAAAATGCCATTTATTTTACTAGGAACATGTAGATAATAATTATGAACGCCTTAAAACCACTCACAAAAATGACAGGTAATTAAAAATAAGACATCCTAACCGTAATATATTATTGTATTTGTCCCCTTGGGTTCCGAGTGGAACATCTCCACTTTGTTCTATTTTCTGCCATCCTCTTCGCCGGGTACACGATTGCCCGAACTCTCTCATCTCTTCTTCACACGATCTCCTCCATGTCACCCTAGGACGACCAACTCGTCGCTTCCTATTGAGATTCCACTCGAGGGCCTGGCGCACCATGTCGTTCGATGGCCTCCTCAGTATATGCCCGATCCATCTCCTTTTTTTCCTACATATTTGTTGAACGATCAATCTGCTTTCACCTGTTGATTTGTTCTCACTGCTTCTTGTCACTTATTCTTTCTTGCAGGCCATATGACCTTCAGTATGGAGCCAGAGAAGGTGACAGTTGTTGATGAAAGTCTACGGTGAATTGTTTGAAATCCTTTTCGTGACTCATGCACATTGCAAGTTTCTGACCCGTATAGAAGCAGTGATCGACTTGACATTGGTGTCGAACAGAACTAGAATCTTGTTCATTACGCCAACTGAATGAAGCAGATTTCCAGACTAGTTTCAGGTTGGTGAAGGCGTTTCTTGCCTTTCTGATTCTGGCTGACTGGCTGGCTTTGACATATTCATCCGTATGATTCTCCTGTAGTTGAAACGATGCTTCCTAGCCGGATAAGTGAAGGAGTCAACCTCTGTTCAGTCTCTCTCGTTGATTGTGATTGGTACTGGTTGCTGTTGCTGTCGGTTGGTTGGTTATCTCCATCACCTCTATCTTCTCTATGTTTACCTGGAACCCTGCTTCTTCAGCTAGTTTGTTGGCTTTTGCGTGCAAGTCATCGAGTTTGTGTTACATTAGACATATATCATCTGAAAAATTCAGATCTTCTAGAGTCTTCTCATAGGTAGCCCCGCTTATTCCTGTATCCTCGCCCCCAACAGTCTGATACATAATCCAGTCATTCCACCACAATTAGAAATATCATCGTGAGTGATAATAGACAGCTAACCAGCCAACCTTGTATTACTCTTGTATTCACTTCTGAACCCTAATGCTAACCTTAATTCTAACCCTAATCATAAACCTAACCTTACTGAGCTATTAATCCATTATCTAAACAGTAGTTCAAATTGAGGTCGGGATGAAATTTGCCCATCAATTCGTGCAAAGCATTCGTAATGGCATCATAATAATGGTAGGTTCCACTGTCCAACGAATAGTGTGCGTTCAAGGTCATCTGTGCGTTCGCACTCCCGGGTCGCCATTCTTTAACTTGGCCTCTATACCTTATCCAATGCCTTGAAATATGTTTGCTATTCTTTTGTTTGAAAATACTATCTTTTATTGATTACTGATAATTTGAAAAGTATTTCTTAATTTCTCCATGTTGTTTATTTCAAAAATTTACTCTTTCTAGCTACTGATGATCAGCTAGCCTTACTAATTGGTGGTGAAGCTTTACTATGGGGTTTCTATGTGGATGATGCAAATCTATTTCCAGCAACTTGGTGAGTTAATTGCCTAAGAAAAAATGAATGAATATCGAATACAATTGCTTCAATCAAAATTTAGTATGACTGATGCGTGTATTCACCTACTTCGTGGTATATAAACTTATTGATTTTACGACAAACATTTGGTGTATGATTTGTTGCAGGATTTCATCATGAGCTGACATTGGTTGGAGAATCACTGGAAGACATGGGAGTACTGGAAAGCTGTCTCGTCCTAGCGCGAGACTGCCCAGCAGTACGCAACTACCCTACTGTCCGTTTTAGAACTCAAGACCTTGTCGTTAAAAGGCTAGCTAGATCGTAGACTATTAGGCCACTGGGACCCGCCAATTCAATGGCCACTCGATGAATTCCAACTTCTGTCAATTAACGACATAGCGCGACCACTAGCCAATGTTTTCGACTAGTATTTGTCCTCACACCCGACTTGATATACCCTACTGGTCTTGACTTGGTGTATGAATTGAAATCTAGTAGAATAAATTAACTGAAGATATCTCTGAAATAATCTCACACGCACACACATTGTCTAATACAAAAATTATCATTATTCCTTTGGGTTCCGAATGAAAACTGAGACTTCAGTAGAATGTCCATATTTCATCTTGTCCTTTTTAGTCCTATTCAGCTGCCTTCATGACTTTGATAAACTCTCATCTTTTTTCCTGACACGATTTCCTACATGTCACTCCCGAACACAGAGTCGTTGGCACAGCAGCAGAATGCTCACCCACCATGCATCTGGTTCGGAGTTCGATTCTCAACCAGTAGACGCACGCCTCTTTTACCTTACTGAGTCACTAATAAGACTGATAAAGAGAGAAGGTTGGGCATGAGGCGGCCAGCAACCCCACCCCGTAAAATAAACCCCACTATTTTTGAGACTCCAAGCCTTAGCTTGATGGCGCCGTATGTTCCACCACTGGGAACGTAAAGGAGTAAAACAAACACTCGGACACAAGCTTAACTCATTACTTACCATTAGAATTCCATTCTATACATGTTTTGGCGTGTTAATTCACCAAAAGCTTCTTCAGTATGTGTCCAACCCACCTCCATTTCCTTCTACATATTTGTCAAGCAATAGTTTCTTGGTCGATTTATCGTAAGACAGAGTTCCTTGTTTCTGATGGTTTCTAACTGTCAACCTGATCTTTAATATCAGCCAGTGACAGTGGAAGTGGCAGTTGTTGATGAAAGCCTGAAGCCTGATGGAAATGTTTTCCATAACGCACTACATATGAGAACTGACTGACTTTACGTTGGTGTTGAAAATTCAAATCTTGTTCTTGATGTTGAATTCGGTGACTTCCACAATGATTCCAGGGTGATAAGTATCTGTCTTGTTTTGCTGATCCTGCTTTTCACATCCCCACTCATGTCACTGCCTGTAATTGAAACGATTCTGCCAAAATAAAAGAAGGAAATAATCTCATTTGTTAGCCGTCTATGCCTCTGCCTTCTTTAAGTTTACTTGGATCCCAGTTTTCACTGCCTTGCTCAACTGTCTTAGAATTTGTATGACATTAGACACAATCCATCAGCGAAGTCTGCGACTTCTAGATTTTTCTTATCGGTTCAATATATTCCTGTCTTCTCGCCTCTCAGCTTCACTGGCATGCTGCATTCCATTACATTCATGAGTGTGGTCAGTGATAGTAGGCAGTCTTGTCATAATTCCTGTCTGCACTTTGAAGGTGTCGCAGAGTTTTCCACTGTGGATCACATGACTTTTGAATGAGGCTGATTATGTTTTGTTTCACTGAACTCTACAGAGTTGAGGCAATTTTAAAGTTGCCTTGTGGTCAACAACACATTGCACAACCGATATTTTTTATAAAATTTGGTTTATTATATATTTTTTAAATTGTAACGATTTCATTTAATAGTCATAATCATCAGAAGTATGCTATGATTCTTGTACGACCTGAAAAGACTTGGTCCATCTTCATACTGGTGAATATGTGAGTGATTCTCATGTACGAATCACTTTTTCATATGTCAGTGATAAAATTACGAGAGTTTCATTCCACGTATTATACTGGCAACCTACTAGAAAAGAAATGCAACATCACTTGCTGAAAGAAAATATATATTATTCATAAATTGTACCGCAAACATATCTTAAGTTCAATGTATACTGAACTGAACCAAGAAAGAAGTTATGAAGAGTGCTAGGAAAGATAAAAGACAAGTATGCAATATACTGGCTAGCAACTGAAGTAGAACAGGTTGGCTGTAGGTAAAAGAGACTTCAGAACATTATATCAGATAACTAGATGACGAAAATAATAGAATATATTCAAGAGAACCTGATTATCAAGGTGGAGGTACAAATGAAACAGTGGGCTGATCACTTCAGACGACTCTTGGATTGACCATCACTTGCAACTCGCTCACAAATACCACCAGCACCAATAGCACACACAGAACTGCCTACCAATGGACACCAATCCTGTAATGAAAACAGAAATCTTGAATGAGATCAAAATAATGAAAGCCAGCCGCGAATGCAGCAGGGACAGATGGAATTCCCCTCAAACGGAAGCACTGAAAAAGGACCTAGAGATTGAAGTAGATAGGCTCACACCTTATTGCAAAAAGTTTAGAAAGATGGAAAGGTACCTACGGATTAGAAGAAGGGCTGGCTACCTTGACAAGCTACCAATGAAAGGCGATCTTCCCTTCACTTTTCAAGAACTGACTGGCGTGGAATAGTGCTCTTATCCACACCAAGTAAAATACTAATTGGCATCATTCTGGATAGAATAAAAGGTGCACTGGATGCAAACACTACCAAATCACCGGAAAAGCTGGGTTCAGCAAAAGCCAAATCACATGCTGATCAAATTGCAACTGTACACATCATCATCACCCTAAAACAAAGCATAGAATGCCAGTCAAACCTCTCTCTACCTCAACAACTTCACCGACTTCGAGAAGGCCTTCGATAGCCAGCATTGACCACGAAGCAATTTGGAAAATGCTTCAACACTACGGTGTGCCTATTGTCTTTATCAACCTCATTCAACAACTGGCTGGCTATATGACAATGCCTGCCCCCAGTGTCAGTGAGATGATTCACAACGGAAAACTCAGCGAAGTCTGGTTTTGAAGTGAATACCGGAGTAAGACTAGGCTGGCTGCTATTATCAACGATGATAATCCAAATTATCGCGTACTGTATTATGTTGGAGAAGACAGAGAAGACGAGAAGACAGACATATGTTGGATAGACAAGAAGACTTTAGAAGATCCGAACTTCGCGTGTGAATGATTTATGCCGTTGGACGTTATACACACAAACTCGAAGACTGACAAGCATGCAGCAAAGACAGAACTAACTCTAGATGAATATAGAGAAGACGGTGGTGATGATGGTAACCAACCAACCAACCAACCAAATAATAGCAGCAACAACAACCAGCGCCAATCACCATCAACGGGAGAGAGATTTAACACAGGTTACTTCCTGCCTTCACTTATACAGGTAAACAGGAAGCCAGCATGGTTTCAACCATAGATGTGCAGGCGGAATCGGAAAGGCAAGATTGCAATGCCTTCATCAAGTTGAATCCAGTTAGGAAATCTTCTGCTTCACTCACCTACTCACTTATATAACCAGCCAGTCAGCATGAATAACAAAATTCGAATTCCGTTCAACATAAGTGTGAGATCGGTTAGTTGGTTCCTCTATACAGGTGACAAACTTGCATTGCGTGTCAGCCAGTCACGAGAAGGATTTCAAACAGGTAACTTCAAACTTTTATCAACAGCTGCCCATTTCGCCGGCTGACTGGAGAGAAAGAATTAGCAAAAGGCAAATATGGAGTTGAACAAACCAACCAAGAAAGAGCCCATTGCTCAACCAAGAAATATGTAGGAGAAAATGGAGATGGATTGATCGGGTATACGTGACAGTGACGGGGTTACAAGTCGAATGACATCGCGCTCAATGCAGGCCACCGCTCGAGTGGAATCCCAGTGGCAAGAGACGAGTAGCTGATGGTGAGTGTGAGGGTGACATGGAGGAGATGGTATGTTGGGGAGGAGGAGGAGGAGGAGGAGGAGGAGGAGATGTGAGAATATGGGCAGTAATCGGGGGCCAGCCAACTGAAGAGGAAAAAGCAGCAGAGAAAAGAATAAAATAAAGTAGGGTGCAGCAGGTCGGGTGTGAGGACAAATACTCGCCAGCGAAGACATTGGCTAGCGGTCGCGCTACGTCGTGAATTGGCAGAAGTTAGAATTCAAGGACCATTGGATCAGGCCCCAGTGGCTTAATGGTATACGAGCTCGCCTTGTAACCGGAGGGTCCTGGGTTCGAACCCATGGTGTGGGTGCGTACTGCTGAAGAGTCCCAAACTAGGACGAAACAGCTGTCCAGTACTCCCAACTGGTTTTCCAATGGTTCTCTAGCTAATGTCAGCTCATGATGAAATCCTGTAACCAATCAAATCCCTGCAAACCAACACTTGAAAAGTAAAGACGTGTTGTCGAAGCCCAATGTTCCATTCGGAACCTAACAGAATAATATAAATAAAAAGTCTCGTTTCATTTAAGAATTTACACAATACAAGACAACCCGTTAGAAACGGTATAGTTGGCTTTCGTAGTTTATTGAGCTTCTTCAGCAATGCATACGTTTGTCCATGGGAGATTAGTTATCTATTCTCAACTTTATTTTCTAGAATGTTCTGTTGCTTAATATGAAAACGATTGAGACGAAAGTAGTTTAGTTATCCAACGATCACATCCAAGATCAATTAGCAGACATCTCATTATAGATAGGACTTTTCATTTCAATACAGAAATCACCAGGAAGCCAAGTACTAGTCACATGAGAAGGAAACCTATAGTATCTTACCTAAATGTTAAGAGGCTAAGGTTGACGCTACCTCAGATACTGTAGTTCTTGTAAATCTTTAAAGGATGTGTTTAGTTACCGATTTATTTCATTTAGAGACATACATCTCGGAAATTACGGAAGCATAGTATTTATCGTTTTATCATCGCTAGAAATTTCCATTTTTAGCCAAGTAACTATTAAACAGATGTTTGTTCAGTCTACCAAGTGAGGTACGATAACACTTAATCACCTATGACATTGTCTCGTGGTTGTGTTGTGCTGAAGAGTCCTGAAGTAGGATGATAGGGCTGTCCAGTACACCCTGTCGTCTTTCCAGTGGTTCTCTTACTGATATCAGCTCATAATGGAACTTGTAAGAAATCACATCCCTGTAAACCAACACTGGATAAGATGCTTTTCATGCTTTATATGCACCTTACATTACAGGCCACTAGCTGCAACCGTAGCTGAACGACTTTGGTCTACAGAACCTCCAGAAACTGAAGTATTCGCACAAGAACTTGATGAACTTCGTTGTCGAATGTTAAGGTAAGCGGCTTATACACACTAGCAACTGGTGAGAATGATCAAAAGTTATGCAAAACTGTATATATAAAATTTAGAGTGTAAGCCCATATTGATTGGTGATGAAAGACTATGTCAAAATAATAAACTGACTGGCAGTAGGTTTTATCATCAAAGCGAAAGTAAATGGTGTTACATAAAGTCAGCATTACACTACCCAAGGGCTTGACGCATGACACTGGTTACTATCCAGTGTCCAGTGACCAATCAGAGTATCCACTACAGTCCTACAGGAAGCCAATCGTGAGCCCATTCAATGTAGTGGTAACGTCTCTGACTGTGACAATGGGTGATCCGGGTTTGAAACTCAGGGAGGCATGAGTTCCTTCAAGGTTTCAGATACACCTTTCTGTGACGAGTAGTAACAAGCACAGAACCAAGGGCCGAAGAGGGCTACTTTTTCGATTGCCTCCAATCATCTAACATGACAATAACTAGACGTATGACATATGTTGTGACACAAAGACCAATTAAAGTTGAAAGTTTTAATTAGGACAAATTCAATGATGAGGCATTTTGGTTATATGAAAACTGAAGAGTACTGATCATCGGCTGTAACATCCAAACCACGAAATATATGCAACCATTTGTATATATTCTACTTGATTTCCATATAAGAGGCATATTATCATTCATCTGCTTTCCGATTGGCTTCTTCACTTGAAGGTAAGATACTCAAAGTTTTCAGCTTACCCAAGAGATTACAAAGGTCATCACCCTATAGATCAGCCACATTGTTCACTATCACAATGATGTATATATATGTAGGTTTGTGAGAATCATTCCAATATGCAGTCCAGCAGCACATTTCAGCACACCACTGACAGCATTATTCATTATGAATACAATCGGAAGCATATATTTCCCTATATGAATTTAAAACAAGCAACAAAGGGGTGAGTAATAAAGCAAGATTTAATGAATTCATCAAATTCCGGTAGAACTCTTCAGCTGATTTTACTCCACATTCAGGGATATATATACTATGAGAAGTACGTTGGGAGAACTGTGGCTGATAAGCAAATAAAATACATTGAATTACTCATACAAAACAAAACGTGTGAATGTTTTTCAGGTCAGGTTCAAATAGATAAGGGGAGAGGGAGCATGAGAGACTAAAATTAAGATAAAATACATTATGCTTCAATTACATCACTTAGGTGAATAATTAGTCACCAGAGAAAGAACTTAAATATATCAAGAATCGCGAACTGAGTAGTATTAATAATAATAATAATAATAGTAGTAGTAATAATAAGAATGTTGAAACGAGTTAAGATAATGCTACTGATAAAAGGTATTTTTGAGTGAATCAGGAATAACAATAAGAGGTAGAATAAAGTGTTAATAAAAACGTATTACCATGGTAGATTAAGAGCGAAGATCATTTCCTTGTGTACACAATTGCAAGCATCTTCCTGTTTCTTTGCCTGCTAACAACAGTGACTGACTTGACAGCGTTAAAATTATGTCCATAGTTCACAAGATGTTTTGTTATTGAGGTTATTGGCACTTTGCATTCAGCCGTTTTCAACCATTTTGGCAAATGTTCCATCATGCGAGTAGACAATCGCGTTTTTGTACGAACTATGTATTTGCTTCCTTCCTGAAACACACTCAAATTGATAAACGCGGTAGTTTGAAGTGTCGAGGATTGGTGACTGACTGGTCTTTCCCAGATTCTTGAAGCACCCGCTTGGTGGTGGTGTTAAGAAGGACTGACTTTCCGGTATAATTAGTTCCCTTGATAGGTTTATCGATTTTTCCTTTGACTACTTCTTCTACATCATCTCGTTTGAATGCCAAATTGATATAAACAGATTTCTTCGGAACTGCTTGGGTAGTTTTGCAGAGGCTCATCTCTTGAGGGCATTTAAAAATGAGCCTTCTGTGATATCCATTCTTAGATAAAATATCCTTCAGAGCTATTATTTCATGTTCAATTGTACTGTTTATCTAAGTGATGCGATTGAAGCGTAATGCATTTTATCTTAATTTGAATCTCTCATAATTGCCTCTCCCCTTATCTATTTGATCATAACCGGAAAAACACTCACATGTGTCGTTTTGCCTGACTAATTCGATGTAGTTTATTTACCTACCAGGTTTATGTGTCTGAGTGTGATTCTCCTGAAATTTGATGAATTCATTAAATCCTGCTTTATTAACCCCTTTTGTTGTTGCTTGTTTTAAATGACAATAATTAACCGGCTTCATGAAATGACTCTTATTGTTTCACACTAAGGAAACCTTAATGATCTCATATTAGTGAATTCAAGGGATACAGAATACAAGAAGCTTCAAAAGCCTATGCCTTTGTCTACAGTATCTTACAATAACATGGAAGAATGAAGTACAAAACTTTCCATTAACCTCGAAATGCAAATAGTATTCCAGTACTTTGATCAAATTCATAAGTCGAATTAGTTGTGTTCTCTGTCAGAGTTGGTTGATGCAACTGTGAAGCTTTCGTCGTCCCCCAACAAGACAGCATCGCTTTACCGCAATTTTTGGTATAAAATCGACTTATTGGAATTCCATTATTGATATAATTGTATCTCACTACTGACAACAACTATCGTGGCTCGTTGTGTGTTCATTTATGTCTCTAGTGATCATTTTTATTATTGACTTGGAGTTCGAGCTTTCTTCTCATGTGATGATTTACTTTTTATTAGTTGGTAAATTTGGTCTATAGTAATTAGTGTGTGTGTGTGTGTTAATCGCTCGCTGACTGATTCACTGGAGTACCAACCAGGCTTCTGGGAATTCCCTGACTGCAGTTTCCGTGTTTCCTCTATTTCAAAATTCTACATTATCCTAATAATCTAACTGGTGTCCATAATTATTTACATACATTGATATGAAAGAATATATGTGTCATGTCATGTCCTTTTACAGCCAATTTGTGTTGTTCGATTCGGTCGGACTAGAAGTGGACACTCACTTTCCCTGATGTAATGTTCATTGCAGTTCATGCATGGTATCTATTTTGTAAATTTTATTACTAATTTTATCTTCTTTTCCTGTCGGATGGGTCTTTTGGTTTTCACAATATCGAATGAAGTGATTGAACAGCTGGCTGGATTGGCTGGTTTCCTGGTTTGTGTGCTGTATCTATTTCAAACCGTCTTAATATTCGAGCTGTTATTTCAGAGATATTTTTTGATGTAGGGCAGGATAAATTTGCTTACAGTCTTTGATGATGACTTGTTGTTGATGTTATCGTGAGGGTGATATGCATTCTTTTTGAAGACATTTAGCAGGTATTTTCTTCCATTCTCTTCAACACCAAAGTAGCTTTATAGTGTGTTTGAACTTCTTTAAACAATGACTGCACACAGTTTCTTTTGTGGGTAGTTGGGTTGGGTTGGGTTATTACTATTATAGTTGAGTATTTGGTCTATGTGTGCTGGTTTTCTATATATACATGTCATACCGAATTCCAAGTCATGATAGAGAAGATTTGTAGCTCAGGTGGATGATTTTGATGTGGTTGTGCTCTCTGAGCTGAATGGTTAATTTGCGAAGCTTTCATCACCCTACCGGGTGACATCTTCAGCGCATACTTCAATTTGAAGTGAGATTTTAGATTTCTCCACGAGTTTATTAATCATCTCTCCTGGTCACCTTGGACTTGATTCGTTATTTTTGTGTGTTTTCTAGGCTACTTGTATTAGAACTGATTGTTTCTTTCACTTGAACTTTGACCCTTTGTGTGTGAGGTTTCTTTCTTATCGGTTGATAAATTTTGTCCATCTCTATGTGTCTATTGATTGATGATTCACTGGAATGCCAAGCTTCTAAAAATTCTCTAGCATTCTTGTTGTTTCCTATGTCTAATATTTGAACGCTGGTTGTCCCAGTCGAATTGATGTCCGTGGTTGTCTGTATGCAGTGAGTGGATATAATGTCTTTTGATGGCTAGCTTATGTTCGTGGATACGAAGACGAGGGGGACGTCCACTTTGGCCACTGTAGCTTCACAAATTAACCATCCAGCCCAGAGAACACAACCACATCAAAATCACCCACCTGAGCTACAAATCTTCTTCTTCTTTGCGACAAAACCTTCGTAATTGCATCAACCAGCTATAACAGAGAGCAGAACTACCTCAATATGATCCATCTGAGCTACAAATCTCCTCTATTACTTCGTGAGTGTTTTTTTTTTAAATTGAGAACCATGATTCACTGGATATGATATTTTTCCCGCTTGCCTAACTTATCAAGTTTTATTGAACAGAACTTTTGAATGCAAAGTCTTTCTTTGTTTTACAGACGTGGTTGGAGTGCTCAAGCGATAACTGGACCTGGATTCTGTTTCCCATAGTCAGTGCGATGACACACACTCACACATATCAATTAGATACTAACTTCCTGTGAAATAAAAAAATAATTAAATTTGTTACTTATTCCCATCTGGTTTTATTCTGCTCTTGCATATTCTTATTCATATTATGCGATATAAATTCAGAATTCTTGATAGTTAAAAAATAGATATTACGTTATGTGTGAAGTCTGTCTCCAGAATAGATGATAAGGTCCCTAATTGTATGGATACAACTTTGGAAACAATTACATGCACACATAATGGATGAGACATACAACCGCATATTTGTTTTTACTTCTGATTGTAACTGCGGAAGACTAGAAACTTGGTAAATGGATGTTTCAACTTTGATCATGGATTGATATCAATTAGAGAACCATTGAAAACTAGCACTGAAGTACTTACTGCTAGAAAGCTGTTTCCTCACTCTAGTTTTGAACGCTTCATCAGTACACCCCCCATTGGGTTTTGAACCTAGGACCTTTCAGGTTACAAGGCAAGCTAGCTTGTATACCCTTGAGCCACTGGAACCTGATTTACTGGTCAAACCATGAATTCTAACTTCGACCAATTCAATGGTTCTCTAGCTGATATCAGTACTGAGGTCTATGCTGAGATAAATAGAATTCCTACAAAGCAATTCTTAGAAAGGAATGTTTATCTGCAGTTTAGTATCCCTTTTAGCCGTCAGTAACCGCAGTTCAATTCACGTTAATGTACACTAAAAATCGCTGCCTCGATTACATTAACAAAAAACTCAGCCTTCGTAACGTACTTTCCAAAGAACATCGAAAGCAACTGAAAAAACTGAACGATAATGAAAACTTGATCATCACACGACCAGATAAAGGCTGCGGAATCGTCTTGATCAACAAATTAGACTACCTAAGCAAACTCTCGGTGATACTATCTGACGATAAAAAGTTTCAAAAACCGTTTCCTTAGAAAGATCCTACCGAAGAGACGGAGCTCCAGCTAACAAAGATATTGAATATAAATGAAAGACGAATCTATTATCAGTTCAAAACTATATGAACAACTGCGTTCATCTGGTTCTACAACGCCGCGCATGTACGGCTTACCTAAAGTGTACAAACAAAACGTCCCACTCCACCCAATACTAGGTATGATAGATTCCCCATATCATACAATCGCGAAATGGCTGGTGGAGATCCTCGGGCCGGTGAAAGAGAAGCTATCAAGACACAACCTCCTTGACACATTCGACTTGGTTGGTTCAATTAAGAATGTCAGTATGGCAGAAAAAAATGGTCTCCCTGGATGTCGTGTCTCTCTTCGCCAACGTTGCACTGACAGAAACCGTATGTTTCCTTTGTGACTACATTCAATCCAATAGCATTGATTTCGACATACCGATCCATTGCCTGAAAGAACTGTTACTTCGATGCACCTTCAACGTATACTTTACTTTCAACAAGGAAATATACAGACAAGTAGATGAAGTAGCAATGGGTTCTCCCTTAGGACCCTCTTAGCCGACTGCTTTATGGCTGGCTTAGAAAAAATACCTTATCACCAAATATCAACGAACTCCATCTCTACAAGAGATAAATCGATGATGCTTTCATTATTCCGAAAAACCCTGGTAGAAAATGGTTTCCCATCCAGATTCATAGACAAGAACCTCAAATCAAAGAAGACTTCCGAACAAGTTCAATCCATCTCGAAGAAGATACTTCTGCTTAATCTAGAATTTAAAGGTGACATTGAAGTAGAAATCCCTCAGAAACGCCTCTGCAAATCTCTGAGGAAGATTTACTTCGCCACTAGCCTACGACTAACGTTTTCCTGCAAGAAACTGTTCAGCCAGAACGCGAAAGACAAGCTGTCGCATTGGGCCACATCAAGGTGCATATACCAGTTTACTTTCTCTTGTGGAGCTGAGTACGTTGGCCGTACCTACGCTTTGTATCCAAAAGAAATACGTCCAACCCTTATCCACGCCATGGCCAACATAAACAGGCAATTCTTTTAATACTGACCATCCCATCGCCTTTCCTATCTAAACTTCCTGGTTATTCATGTTATTTTTAAGTTTTTCTTAATCCCTCCTATTTACACTACCATATATTCATATCCGAACTTCCTGTCTGTTCTTTGTCATTTTAGTATTTCCACATTTCTAACTCGTAATTGCACAATCAATGTCAATCTTCTCAGTAATTATGATTCTACTTTGTTTTAGTTGTATCCGTCCTCCGCCCCACGTGTTTATTCTGGCATTTTAATTCCTAATCGTAATTTTACTAATTTGACCCTTGACGGGGAATTATTCTGGAACTTTCCCGTCCATTTATACTATAAATATAGTTGAATATACAGCCTAGTTGACGGTGACTTCGTCGAAAAGAACATTGTCTTCACTGCAATTGTCTTCTTAAAAAGACGTCTCCTAGACGGAGAAAGCAGAGAATGTGTTATAGATAAACTTTGCATTACAAGTGTTATGTCATTTAAAATTAAAGAAGTATCATCAGTATTCAAAATATTCAAAGGAATTTCGGTTTATTTGTTACTATTCTTTTGAGTCGCAAGTTGAACATAAGGCCTCAGAAGGATATCTGCGTTAAGTCTTGTTATTTGCACTTCTTTTTAGTCGGCTCTACAATTCCCAATATGTCTCCACTTCTCCGGACAGCCTCTTTCTTTTCACTCCAAGGACCTAAGTCCAATTTGCCGTTTACCAATTTAGTTCTACACGATGTCCATTCTTTCATGGAGTGTCATCCAACAGGATAGTGGTTATAGCGAGATATTTTCGCGTATAGCACAGCCAACTTCAAAGCAGATATTCTGACCACATAAAAAAGTTGATAAATAATCCTTGAAACAGCCAAACATAGCTTCTGATATAATCACAGCAATCCTCTTGTTACGTAATACAAAATCACCTACCTGAAGAGATTCTAGCCGAAATTGATCGCCATCATCCTACACAAACATGTATACTGTAAAGAATGCGCGGTAAGTCAGAACTGTGATATGCTATATCCCCAACCAAAAAGTGACTTTAAAATAAATAAATAAATACTATCGCCAATGATCTTCCTGATTATAGTAGATTGGATAATGCGACAGACAACGAACAATGTGGAAACAGGCATAAAATGAACTCACACAAAAAAAGAACTTGGAGGATCTGGACTTCGCCGATGATATATGTCTAATTTCCCATGAACTGGAAGATATGCAAGTGAAAAGCAACAAGCTGGTAGAAGAAGCATCAAAGATAGGACTTCAAGTGAACATCGGGAGGACAGAGGTGGTGATGAAGATTCCTGGCCAACATCAAAAGAAACAGAGACAATAACAACAGACAACAATCAGCCAGAATAAATGGGACGAACCTGAGAGAAACAACCTCCTTCACCTACCCACGCACCTGGGAAGCATCGTTTCAACTACAGGCGGACGGAACGGATAAGGATATCAAAGCCAGAATCGGAAAAGCAAGACAAGCCTTCATTACTCTCAAGTCTGTGTGGAAGTCAACAGCACTACTCAGCATCAAAAATATGATCCGGATTTTCAACTCTAATGTGATATTAGTGCTACTTACTATAAGGATCAGAGAATTGGCGCGTCATAAAGAGTATCTCAAACAAACTACAGATCTTCAATAACAACTGTCTTCGCTCAATATTACTCAAGATCAGATGTCCGGCCAGAAAAGATCAGCAACAGGGATCTCTGACAATGAGCGAACCAACCCAGCAGGAACCGATTGTGCAACAAATAGACAGGAAGAAATGGAGATGCATTCCAGGCCATACTCTGAGGAAACAAACCATCAAGTGACATCACTAGACAAGCCATCACTCTAGTGGAACCCGAAAGGGAAGCGGCGAGTCGGTCGTCAGTGTGAGGGTGACTTGGAGGAGGTCATGTGAAGAGGAGATGAAAGCATGTGGGCAGACTTGGAGCGGGGTGAAAAGGTCGGCAGAAAACCGAACGCAATGGAGATGCGCAGCTGAAGCCCTATGTTCCTCTAGGAATTAAAGAATATAATAATAAGAAATAAAGTTCAATGGAGAGTGGCACATAGAAGCACAGAAGATACAGTCTAGTCAGTTAGATTTCCGTCGTAACACGTAACGAGGAGACTCATTCAAACGAATTTATTATCAACCTGTAGTCCGTAAGGAAATTTTAAGCAAAATGTATTATTACTTAATAATAACAATAGTAAGAACGTGAATTATGCTAAAATGTTTGTGATCATTATCACAGTTCAGTATCAAGCGATTAAGCAAATAACATCGTATACACGTAGTTGGTCAAAGAATTTATGAAATTTAGGAAGAGATGTTATTATAATAACAATTTGCTTTATTCCAATATAGTACTAATGATACAGTGTGGAATTTTCAGCCTTTGGTACAACATTACCGCATCTAATTTTCTTGAATAACATTTATAATAAGACAATTATAAAGGTAATATTACAGGATTGTTACTGCCAGCTCTGTTTTGCCATTTGTAGTGAGAGTAAAATCATATAAATACAAAAAAATTCTAAAACTAATGATAACAAGGTTGGCAGTAAAGATTTCTAGTTTAATTGAAACAGTTTCACCATAGTTTACAAATAGGAGTACTCCCAGGTTTTCCAATGGTTCTCTAACTAATGTCAGCTCATGATGAAATCCTGAAACCAATCAAATCCCTGCAAACCAACACTTGGATAATAAAAGAGTTGATTACTTTGCTAATAACAATATTAATTCATAGGTTTCACGCTTTAAATCGTCTCTCTCACATACAAAACAAGGCGAGCAAATAAGCTATCGTTGAGTTCCTATACTTAGTAGTACGGCATATAATCTTTTGTAGTGACTTCTAGTTCCACCAGATGAGATAACGCAAGGGGAGAGTTGAGGATATAGAGGCTGGGTGTTGAGGGTCGCATGACTTGTTTAGATGTCTATCAACAAATCTAGTGACAAGCTGACTAAGTTGCACACCTCTTGACCTACTTAAAACCTTTAGTACCCTTTTCAAAATGAAATAATCTTTTTTCATTAGACCAGAAAAGATTAATGGCAAGAGAGGAGTAAAGTACAATAGGTAAGAAACAACAGTGAACAAATTGTAAAAGCAGAAGTTGAGTGATTCCAGATTACATGGAGGATTTAATCATGAGCTGACATCAGTTAGAGAACCACTGGAAAACCTGGGAGTACTGGACAGCTGTTTCGTCCTAGTTTGGGACTCCTCAGCAGTACGCACCCACCGCCAT